CCACCACCATTACCTGCGACGCACACGTGGTGAACGCCCTCCGCGTATACGCACACACACATACACACACACATACGCACACATGTGGGCGAGCGTCCAAGCAAGAGAAAAAGAGAGAGAGAGAGAGAGAGAGACGCAGCCTTATTTTACGGCCGCTTTAAGGAACTGCGAGCGACTCGCAGCGGCGGCTGGGCTCGCAAATTACATTGAGTGCGCGGCCCGACGGTGTAAATCGAATCGAAAGACCCTCTCGACGCGACTTTCCGCGGAGGTGCGCGCGCGATCTCTCCGGAGGGAAAAAGAGAGAAAGAGAAAGAGAGAGAGAGAGAGAAAGAACCGTCTGCGAAGCGCTCGAATAAGTTTTTCCGCAGCAAGAGAATCGATCGATCGTCGTCATCGACAACGACTCTTGGCGAAGAGCCGATGCGATATCGCATGAACGCTAAATGAAAATCCCTCGCGAAATTCTTCGCGCGCGCTCCGGCAATATTGTGAGATATTTCTGCAATCGTACGTTAAATAACACTAATTTACCAAGTCTTGTATTACAGTATACACAGAAAAAAAGATTTCTTTGGATTTAATGTACTTGTTCGTTTAACTTGAGTTTATTTAATATAAACAACATAATTTAATATCAAATATCATTTTATTTAGATATAAGATGAAAATGTTATATCTTTACTGAAGTAAACCATGTCGTGTGTGTTTGGTAGAAAATGTAATATTATTTAGAGGAAATAATATTTGGTTTTCAATAAAAAAATTTATTTCATTATATATTAAATATTATTCCAACGAATAACAAAGAAGTTAAATTATCAGTATAAGGCCATGAGGAACCAAATATGGTTGTTCCATTGCCATTAAGTATTAATAATATTATATTATTAATATAATAAATAGGAGGATAAAAATGTCCATCGTGTATGCGAAACGTATCGAACTTTCTGACAAACAAAACACAATAATAGCCTTCTACATATGATCTTTTAAATCGCAGTAATATTAATTATTAATTAAAATTTTTNACTCTATTTATTGACTCTATTTATGTTGCGAGAAATACTACCTCGATCAGGAATCGAACTTAACAAAGAAGTTCTTGAATATTTTTCTGACATTGTGTTATTTCTTTTAAATAATTTATTCCTTGTGACAAACATTGTAATGTTTGGGTGAAAATATAAAAGAAATATGATATTTGATATAAAAATATTTATTGCTTGAAAAATTAAACAATCCTGTTTATTGAATCAAACATTTGTTTATTTGTTCTATTCCAAAAAACAAATTGTTTCGATAAAGAAATTTGATTAAAACAATTTTATTAAATCTAAAAAAATTTTGTTTCTTTGAAAAATTGTTTCTAGGATAATTTTTGTCGCCGAGTTCAAATCTGTCATCGAAATAGTATCAGGTCAGGTTTTTGAGATATGAGAATAGACATTTTTTTAGTACATACTGCATTTTTATTGGAATTGGAAAACAAATCAGAAATATGTAGCGTTTTCGTTTTTATATGAATTTTTGGACCGTTTCACGTATTACAATCCAGCAGTAGTCGCCCAGTATATTTTCGTTCTAATATTTCTGGTAACGTTCCTCAATTGTCATCAAATCCTAATGAAAACGTCCGCCTTATTTATTAATTCTCGTATTCAAATTATTCGGAAAAAAATTCTAGATGTGAACGCAAAAAGTGAATTTTTAACGACACACGTGCACCTATTTTGTTATAATTTTTCAATAGTTCTGCAACAATTTGTTCGTAGTTGTCGTTTTTTTCGTTTCACAGAAAATCTTGTATAATGCTATTAAGAGGAATAGAAAGGGTTTGAACGCCCGAAAAATCGGTAAAATTTAATTTAATATAATATAACAAATAGAAGTGCTGCTGCCGAATCCATCCCACAATATACATGTATGTCGCGCGGAACTTTGATTTTGCAATGATTGCAAATATCCAGATAATCCGATTAATATTTTCAAAAGAGGCAAACAGCATTGCATTTCCAAATATTTCCTCTACATAATGAACTAAGAGAAAAAAGACCCGATAATGATTAACAAATGATTAATAAAATAACAACATAAAACCAAAATGCACTGAAAATAATGCTATTTATTGCGATAACTTTTAAATAAATAACATTTTCTCACTGAAGTTTAGTTAGTTTTGTAGAAAATTTATTGCTCTTTCATTAAAAAAATATCTCGATATCTTTGCTCGTCTTTAAGTTATTGCTGCAAAACTGCGGGAAAATATAGTTTTGAGAAAAACTCGTTTAAAGCTTTGGTACATTTTTTCAGAGTGAAATATGTTACTAACATCGGTTAAAAAATGGCCTGGATTATAAAATGAGGTTTCTAATTCAGCTTCAACAACTTTCTCGTTCAGCTGTAACAATTACTCGTTTTTTTTATAACTCTGACTTCTTTCGTTACAGAAAGCGCATCGATTTTAGTTTCGTTGAGACAGTCCTCGTTGTATTTTGTACATTTCGGCGGTACGAGGTACGTAAGATATACTCCTATTGATAAGGCGCTCATTGAATAAAAAAATCATTTTTTCTTCGTCTTTAAATAGCGTTATGACTACATACGTAACAATAGCGACAATATCGCTCCGTTGAAAGAATTTTTTCGAGCTATTTTTCACACAGTTGAGTGAAAACTCTCATTAGCATTTTGTTATAATGATCGATGTATCCATAGACATAGTAAGAATAGATCGAGCAAGTCCTCTAGTAGTGAAGATCAGATAGAAAAAGACGGACAATAGGTGTCGTATAGCTCTCTCTAATGAGAAAAGAGTGGAGAGAAAGAGGGGTAAAAGAGTAAGCAGACAGCTGAATACTCAATCGTTTACGCATCACTAATCTTCTCATTACTGTATAACTTTTTCTGATATGTGAACGAATATTCAATCTGTTCACTCTTTCTTACCCCTCTTTCTCCCGCTCTTTCCTCATTAGAGAGAGAAAGCTACACGGCATCTATTGTCCGTCTCTTTCTATCTGATCTTCAGTTCTCGCGCCTCATGCTCGGTCTATTCTTATTATGTCTATAGATGCATCTAAATAACAAGTTATCCTCAAACAGAACTTCAAAGGTCGACTTTACTGCATTTTTCTTTGTTTCATTTCCTATCAATTGCAAATTGCGTGTCGCAGCGTGCAATTTTATGCCGCCGATCTTCAAACTGCCCGCACATCGGTTCATATTTTCTACTCTCTTAAACTCAATTTTTCGAATTCTTCAATTTGGTAAACGAGAAAATACATCTAAAAATTCGCTCTATCAGAAAATGTAATAAACTGAAAACCGATTTTTTCGAAATTTCAAACATATTTACCTCCCTTTTAAAAGAATTGCTCAGTTTCATTTGCCGATAAGTATGCCAAAAAGTCTTTGTCATCAAGCAATTTTCTTACTTGAACTTTTCAATAAATATACGCTCTTTAAGTTTTACACTTGAAATCCGATGGTCATCAAATATAGTGCTGCCAGTATATCTAAACAACTTAACCCAATAAATTTTTCTGATGACAAATTCAAATTCAGCATCCAAAAATACATTAAAATAGCTGTTTCCACTTCTTGCATTAAAAGTTATTAAAAACTTATAAACTATTATTCGAAACTTAATAAAAAACAGTTAATATATTTTAATCAGAAGTATGATTATACCTCGAATAGAATAGAGAGCTTTACGCGTTGACTGAAGTCCGCAATACCGAAATATTAAATTTGGCGAAAGCCTACGAAAAACCTTGTGGTTACTTGAAGGTTTAACTATGTTGCTAACGCTATACAACTTTTTCAACAGTCTCTCCGTCCGTGAATTTCGCTTCATATGATATGATGCCCGCCTCACAATAATATTAAGTTTAAAGGTACAAATCTATTACTCGAATAAAAATGTATCTAATCGGCCTGACTCAAAAGTTAGGAGTGTTAGCCAGTATAGGCTAAATTAAATTTTCTAACTCGTTACTAGTTTATTAGTGGCTGATTATTCACTAAAATGTACAGTTTTGTGATGCAATCGTTGTATAGCCATTATATATCAAATACGATAAAGTAGATACGCTGTCTGTCCTAAAATATACTGTAATACTTTAATTTAACTACTATATACTCGCCACAAATATTTAAAAATAAGGTAGCAAATCATAATTGAAGGTATATTATTCTATAAAAATTTATAAGAATTTATAAAAAAATTTATAAAAATTTTGAGAAAGCAGATGTGAACGTTACATCGTTGCCTGGCAATTAATTAAAATTTTTCATTTTATACCGTTAATTTCTTTTGTTTAACCCTCAGTTAACTTATTTACTCAGCCATTATCGATTCACCAGGAGAAGTGAGCGTTACATTATTGGCTAGTAACGACGTTAGACACAAATTCATTACCTCGTTGCCAGACACCAGCAAGATTCAATTTCTACTAGAATAGTTTACAATGTTTCCACCGAGTTTAAACCTGCCATTTTTAAATGGAGTTTAATTTTATTTCTTTCTGTATTTACCGCGCGCACCAACACGATCGCATAAACCCGCAGAGACTCGAAGAAATACCCATCCACTCACCTATCTATCCTCGGGGATAACACGTAGACCTTGAATAATTCAATAAAACCCGGCGTAATGACGGTTCGACCCTGAAGGATAAGAGGCCACTTCTTCGTAGTTAGAAAATAGGCGGAGCGACTTCGCGAGAGCGAGATAACGAGAGATTGATCGGGAGTTTCGACTGTGCTTGGCGCGCGGACCCTCGCAGGTGATGAGATGAGAGGACCCGGCGGTGATAGATACGCTTTTAATATATGGGCGAACAATGCGTCGTCGGTACGACGCGATACGAAGGTTCTGGGTGCTCGCGCTTCAATGAGGGGGAAAAAAAGAAAGAGAATGGAAGCGCGGGGGGAGAGGCGAAGGGGACGGCGGCGACAACGACAGACCGGTGAACGTTATCATAATGTTGTTGCAGACTTCCGCCGATGGGAACACGACCACCAGCGTTTTATCTTTCATGGCGACGAAAGCGGACGCCGGCAGACAGTTGTCGTGTCAAGCTGAAAATCGAATCATGGGAACCGCGCCGATAGAGGACGGCTGGGTGCTCCAGATACAATGTAAGCTCATAAACGACGACGATGCCGCCGTCCGGATGTCGACTCCCCATGTCGGGGGAGAAGCGTGCGCGCGCGTGTGTCTCGCCCGAAGACCCTCTTTCCTTATTTATTCAGACGCGCGGCAATCCGGTCGATTTTGACGGTTTATCCGAAGGTCGTGATTCGCAGACACGCCGGAGACGCAGATCCAGCTCGGCACGTCGCTGAATCCGAACGCGATACGCGAGGGCACGGATGTCTACTTCGACTGTCTCATACAGGCCGAGCCGCCGGTTTATAAAGTGGAGTGGCGGCATCAGGTAAGTCGGATTCTACCTTATTTTCTAAAGACGATGCTCCACGGCATTTTCAACGTTCGATCGCGACGTTACACAGAGGACATGTTCAATAGGCGCACACATACACATGTACATACACTCGCGGATTTCAAGAATTGCTATGAGAAAGTTTAACATTTTCTACCGACACCGCAGGGAGAAGGATAAGATGACGACCTTAAGATTTGTCAATTTTTCACCATTTTCGTAATAACGTAAAAATAATGATCATTTTCAAAACCTTGCCAATTATCTGCATAAAACAAACAATTTATAAATAAATTTATAAATAAAATAAAAACAGTTTATAAATAAATTAGAATTTTGTTTAATTTATCTTCTTTAGTGAAGTGTCAATTTCGTCATTTTGCTCCTATATGTGGTAAGATGACTTTTGTTAGTGGGTAAAATGACGAAGGTTAAAAATAAATTTTTTGTACAAGAAATAACTCATATTTTATATCATATTTTGTTATTATGTCTGTATAACACGAGCAAATAAAAATACAAATAGCAATAAAATTATTATTTATGAACAAAAAATATGATTTGTGTCATTGTAAATCTTAAAGAAAATGTGAGTGTAAAACTTAAAGAAAATAAAATCTAGGAGAACGGAAATAAGAACAATTATTTATATATATTATTTATAATTACATAATTTTTTAAATAAAACAAATTGTACGAATTCATCATCTTACCTACATATGATATTCATTATCTTACATAGTCGCTATATTTATTATCTGTTTAAAAAAATATTGCAAGAGAAATAAAAAATAATAGTATTATAATACACACTCTTTTTACCTTCTCTCCCTGTGTAAAACTTTTGTTGATGATCTTGCGTGTAGCCTCGGGAAGTCCACGATTGATGCAAACGAAGTAGAACCTCTAGCTTAATTTCCTGGTTGCGAGGATGATGATACAGGCGCCGATTAACGAACTCTTTATTAATTTTGCTGGTTTATTTAAAAAGGATCAATTGCGAGCGGTGTCTTGTGTGTGATCAGATATAGTCTAGCTCCGTTGAAAGTCAAAAACCAGCTCATGTTATCGAGAGCCGCTGCCGATTATAAAGACAGCGATAGTCAACAATAACGAACTTCGTGAATGTTTTCGAAGGAGTCAACAATGCGAGAAGCAGTAGACAACAAACATATTTACTACCTATTATATCATAAGAGCCTAATATATATATTTTGAAGGATTATTTATTATTATTTGATATCTTTAATAAGTTGGATGCTAACTCGTTATTTGTTATTAGCTTAGAAAAATTAGCATATCATCATCCTACTCTCTATTTTCCTACTTGGTAATTCAACAAGATTTGAACACTTTCTCTACAGAGAAAGAAGATTACAAATGCTTTTACACATTGAAAGTACTTGCGAAAATGAATTAGAGCATTATTCAATGTGCGACGGAAGCGACTAAAAATTTCAAAATTGGCATCTCTAGTTGTCAGTAACAGTAAATCTTTAGTTGACACAGAAATCATTCAAGTTGTATATACCGAACGTGTTTATGCTGCAATGAGATAAAGGAACTTTCTCAATCGAATTTAGAAGCCTAAAAGGACACGAAAAGTTTACAGAAAAGTTGTTATATATCTTAGATCTTTTGTTAGATATGGTAAAACAGCAAAGCACATATTCATCGCATTCACATTTATATAGCTTTCACTTACATTTACGCAAGATCTATATGTACAGAAATACAAAAAGAATAATATAATTGTATTTATGTAACATAATATTTGGAGAATCACCTCTACGTTATCGATGCTTTTCAAGTTTGTCATCGTCTTTAACATCCTCTTAAGGCTCTTGTTTTTTCGCCTCAGCCATTTTGATTAATTATGTCAGAAGCGAGAAAACGTATGCCCAAAGTTCTTGAGAAATGCATTGAAATAAAAAGATACGTCCATTAAATGATACTTACGATCTATTATGTGAGCATATGTATAAAATATTCTGAAAATGTTTATTTTAATAATCAATAAATAACAAAATATTCCGTAAAATTAACCAAATCGTGATCAAATCGTGAAAGAGGATAACCTAAGAAGGAAAGTTGCATGCCATATTAACCCTACGGCTATTTATTTCTTTTAGTTTCACTATTTCGCAAGAGTTTTGGATATATGTTTTCTCACTTTTGACATCATCAAACTGCAGCGAGGGACCAGAAATCTTAAGTTCTGAGAATTATTCAAAAATAAATTCTGTTGGACATCGGCCACGTTGAAAACTGCATTGAGAAAAGTGTTCAAATTGTACTAAAACAAGACTATTAATAAACTTTCAGACGGTAAAGTGTTAATACGTTCACGTATGTGCGATAGTAAAACATTTTTCTATATTTATATTATTAAACTCTGCATGTTTTATACAGTTACGGCAAAAAATAAAAAATACGACATAATTTGTGAAAAGAGTTTTACAAATAAATCCTGGCAGCGCACGTATTAATTATGATATTTGATGTTTTCGCGGTGTAGAGAAATGTTAGATTTGGCTTCCGAGTTGAAGTTACGTTTTTCGTGAATTTATTTCCAACTTTTCATAAATATTTCATTTTGCTTAATTAGGGAAAGAAACAATCTGATACTGATGCTGATGCATGTTGCTTTTCTCCCTAATGAAGAGAACTAAAATGTTCACGAAACGTTGGAGAAACGCGAATCCAAAAGGAACGCAGCTTTAATCCGAAAACTAAACTTAGTAAAGTGTAATTATCGCGTTGACTGCTAATTGTAGTCAGCAATAACCGATGTTAAATTGCCCCGCTCATTAATCTACATATAAAATGTAACAAATTGCATGTGATAAATTAAATATATATTCAATAAGCAGTCGAACGAAACGGATAAAGAGTCGAGGTGAAACGAGTTAACAATATGGTAAATATACTGTAAATAATTTTGTGTAAATAACAGCCCATTGAAATTCTTGTGTTACTTTAACATGGAAATATGTTAAAGAGTATACAAATATATGTTAAATTAACCCTTTGCACTCGAGGGCTCCAGAGCGGAGCCATTTAAAATTTGTCTTCAAACTTAAAACAAACTATTAACAACTATTAATAAATTAACAAAATTTAAAAAACAATAACATACAACAATAACTTTTCTTTTAATGCGCATATCATTTACTTATATGTGAATATGATCTTTCCACTGAAATTGCTTCGAGTTGCTGGTAATATGAATGAAAAAAGAACTTCGAGTGCAAAGGGTTAATATATTCACCTTGTTAACACATTATTTTTTAACATATTCATCTTGTTAAAGTAACACACAAATTTTAGTTGGCCGTTACACAACATTTTTTACTGTATATACATGATGAGTCCTATTTATTCATCTTATATATCTTTGACGATTCAAACTGTGATGAAATTGAGTGTCAAAATAATCGGTGAAAATCAAGCCTGGATCAGATAATGTGTTATCTCGAAGTAAGAAACGCGCGACTCACACGAGCGCGGCGGCTGTTTCGGTGTTATGCAAAAAGGTGTTAACCACCGAGAGAATCCCAGGATACGAATTAAATAGTCGCCACTACGTCGGGGTGACAAAACTCCGCGTTTAAACTTAATTTACTTGAGAATACTGTTTAGCGAGCTAACTTTATCTCGCGGAATACCATGTGCAACCGGCTTGGAACGGCCATAGCTCTTAGCTATAACGCGAGAACCTACAGCTCTTACAATTACACGCAACATTCAGTTTGACCGAAGAATATCTCCAAAAGATCTTTTGAATGTCGTGATACTTTTCTTTTCTTTCTTTCTTCCTTTCTTCCTATCTTCAATATTTGACTTTAGCCATCTAGTTAAGAGCCTAATATCATTTAAGAATTTACACGAAAATTGTTGATTTTGGTAGTTAGATGATTATAATCTGATAAATAAAAAATATATAAAATTCGATCCGTGTACGCTAATAAAGGAAAAACATTACAACCGACATATCGTTTTGTTTCTAAGTTCTAAAGCCCTCTTCGAGCTCTGATGAAAGTATAAAATTAAAATTTACATACATGAATACAAAATTTATATGCATGAATGCAAACCAGCGACATTTCTTTATCAAATATATATAATAGTCTCATGAAAATTATTATATATTTTTTTATAAATAATTATTTTTTAAGATGTTTCAGGACTAACGCTTTTAGAAACTAAAACCCAAAACCGATATACCTATGACACTTATAAGAAATTATTAGGTGGTTGCATATAAAACCGCCCATTTTTGAGCGAAAGGAAAGATAATGGTTTGGTAGCAAATCGACAAACTGGTTTATTCAAAATATTGTCCATCGGAACAGATAATCTTGGCCCATCTTTCGGCCGACAATCGGATTCCATGTAGGAAGAATTCAGGTTTTTTGGAGGCAATCTAGTCATCCAGCCATTTTTTGACTCTTTCGTACGAGGTGAAGTGCTGTGTCGTAAGCGCTGACTACATCGACCGGAACAAATGGTAATCGGAGGAAACGATGTCTAGGGAATATAGTGGGTGGGAGGTAAGATTTCCCAGTTCACTCGTTCTAAGTACTTCTTGACTGGTTGAGCAATATGCGGCCTGGCGTTGTCGTGCTGCAAAATCCACTGTCATGGCGATTCTCCCATTCCGGCCTCTTCTCGTGCAAAGCTCGCTTCAAACGAATTAGTTGCAGTCGGTAACGATCCCCAGTGGTGGTTTGTGCCGGTTTTAGCAGCAGTTTCCGTGTCCTCAAATTTTTTGAATGGTCTTCCGCGGTCCTTGCTGTCCATAGAGAAATCACCACTTTGGAAGCGGCAAAACCACTCTTTGCACGTTGTACTCGATGGAATATGTTCGGCATACACTTCCTCTAGCAAGTGATGTGTTTTTGCGGAAGATTTCTTTACCAGGAAATAATGGAGCATAACTTCCCACAAATGTGATTTATTTGGGACAAATCTTGCCATTGTAAACACAATCAAAATAGATGATGTTAACGCGTCGCACAAATGTCACTTATGACGTTTTGGCGGGACTCTATAGACTTGTCATCATGTGTATTGCCAACTTTCAATTCGAAGAAACAGTCTACCAAACGCCATCTATTGCCAGCGGGTGGTTTCATATGCAACCACCTAATATTAGAATAGGAAATTATATATTGATATATAATTATATATTGGATAAGCATGTCTCCTCGGTCATTTCTGTTACCGAGACCGAAATTTCTCACTACTCCTTCAACCGCTCCACGTCTAACCTTGACATTGAAATCGTCAAAAATTATATTAATTTCATACTTTTTGACTACCTTTAGTACATCGTGCAGTGGCATATCTAGACTAATAATTAATTATGGCTTTATGGATCGAGTTTGTCTTGTTTTTCTCTAATGATTATTTTTGATATTCCTAATGATTATATAACACTAATCATACAATACAATGATCCTACATTACAATCAATATATATATTTTTAATATATATCTTACGTAGCAAAAGTGTCGCAGTATCACAATTATGTTGCTCTGTTACAAATCCATTTCTTAATTAAAATATATACATCTTGAAGTTTGATTACGTCTATTTATAACAAATTATTAAAACAAAAATATTAATTGCTAAAAGATATTAATATATTAATATATTAACAACATTAATATGTAACAGAGCAGCATAATTGTGATACTGTGACACTTTTGCTACGTAAGATATATATATATATATATTAACACTTTGAAGCCTTGGCCTTAAAGATGATTTTAAGTGTGAAAAAAGCACTTTAAAAAAAGGGGGATAGATATCCGATGTTCTATGAAACATTTGGAACGACCGAAACCCGAGAATAAGTCGACAGCAGAACGTATGGGATTAAATAGCCAGGCCCGAGTTATACTCGGGCTTCGGCAGTTGTCTGCGCGCTACCTCGATCTATATTCGGGCTTAGGACGAAGAGTATTAAAGGTTCTAAAACGTATGTTCTTCGAACGTTCCCACTTTGTTTGAATATAACCAAACCAAGTGAACGTAAAGCGAACGTTCCTCGAACATTTACGTGCTACTTGGGTATGCATTTAGAAAAAATATCCAATACGTTTCCCTCCGTTTCAAACGTTCTCTCTCACGAAAGTGTCCTCATTCGTCTCCGCGACCGGACGAGCAATTGATCAATCAACCGATTTCAGAGAGCACGCGAGCGAATCATACCTATGACTAGCGTGGTAAGTTCTAAAATTCCAGGGTCGTAAACAGATTGGCCTCTCGGCGATTAACAAGCTCGATTATATCTGCGCTCACTCGCTCGCTCGCGGCACGCGAGAACGAGACTCCGCGTTAAGACCGAATACAAACTTGGGCGCTCCGAGGCATCAAACTTTTATAATAACTTTCGTCATCCTAAGCAACCCCTCGTTTGCTGCTCCCTCCGTTTCCCCCCTCTCTCTCTCTCTCTCTCTTGTCACGAGCGATGAAGATAGAAACTACTAGAGAGGTTCTTGGATTCGTATACACATACACACACACACATACACATAATACACACAGGCATGTGCGTTCACCGCCATCGGCTTACGTACGCAGGATAATAATCTTCGCGCCCCGGCGAGGCTGACGGGTTCAATCTACCGGCGAGGAAGCGCCAATTACTGTGTTTCTTCTCCAGGGCAAGGCGCTCCATCATAACATCACGCAAGGCATCATAATCAGCAACCAGAGCCTGGTGCTGCAGGGGGTCGATCGCAAGAGCGCCGGCAATTACACGTGCGTGGGATACAACACCGAGGGCGACGGCGAGAGCTCGCCGTTTTATCTCAACGTGATGTGTACGTATCTCGCGCCCTGCGTACGTTTCGTTATCTCTCTCTCTTTTATTTATATAGGATATTCCAGAACCACCGTATGTTCTGAACATTTTTTTAGAACATTTGAAAACGTAAGTTCAACTATCACAATGGTGAGACTACGATAATTTTTAAATTATAAGCGATTAAAGTTGACTATAATTGTACGGCTGACTCGCGCTTATGTATGGCAGCATGAACGATATTAAAAGTGCTATCATGATGAAAACGGATTCTTTTGAGAAAAGTTTTGTATAAATATAATTTTTATAAAGAGAATGTGTAGTGTCAAAAGTAATTTACATTCTTTCGTATTTTATGATTTGGAAATCGTCTTACATATTCCCGCGTAGTAGGATATGAATTTTGATCACATTTGCCGTAGATTATTATTATATTGCACACAATATTTATTTGGTATATAACTTATTTTATCTTTTGCATTTTCGAAAAATTCGTTTCATCATGATAACATCATTATCAATGTCTACGTTGCCATATTTGAACGCGAAAAATCTCAACCATACGATTAGTCAACATTAATCGCTTATCCCCTTTAAAAAAAGCGGGTTATCAAATATATCGAATGTATCGAAGCGTTGAAACTTTCGTCTTTTACTGATGCACGATGATGATTGGCTACCCTGAAATTTTGATCTCGATACGATCGTTGCTTATTTTGACGCGTAGCTGCGGATGTTACGCATTTTGACAGTAACAGAGATATCATTTTCTCGTCGACGAAAATTTTTCGACGAATTTTAGCCCGGTGCTTATTTAATTACGCAAACTGAGATTTTTTTTTCCGTAAAATAGTAATTAGCCTAATAACGCGCGCATATTGTGTGTCTGTATATATGTTCGTTTACTAATTTAAAAATTACTGTACACAGTGCGAAATTTTGTGCTAAAAACGGCACATTGAAATTTTATGTATTTTTTAACACGTGTTTATGTACATTTTAGCACATTTGTATTGAAGTAACGTTAAAGTAACACAAAATTTCAATGGACCCTTTTTAACATCAAATTTTTTACTGTGTAGCTTTATTTTTATATGTAAATTTTAGTCTTAAAATATTTCAGAGAATCTATCATGTTAAGGACATTTGATGATTCTGGGAAAACACATTATATATATATATATTATCATTACTACAAAAACTCCATTTTATCTGGTTTGTAATTTCCATCACCCCTGCCCCCTCTCTCCCCCACCTCCGCACTCGATCGAACCATGAATCTTTTTTCAACCAGATCTCCGAGCCGCCACAATGCTAAACTACCGTTTTCCAAAAATTCTCCCAAAGTATAGTGGTTGCCTTTAAAACTCTCTTCCGTCACACCAAAAAATATCGAGAGCTTGAACGCTTTCAAACAGGAGCTATATCAACTTCTATTTGTGATAAATAACTAAATAACAACAAGAAAGATAATTTCAGAGACAAATTTTTTTCGTCGTTTAACACGACCGATCACCATGTAATATATAATGGTATGGTCAGAATCATATCTATTATTTTAATCAAATATTATAACATTTCAAAAACACTTCTATTATAACAACTATCGCAACGTTTTCAGAAATTTTAACTCTTGAGCAAAAGTAAACGCTTTCATCTATCTGTCTCTATCGCGCGTCCGGGGAGGATTTATTCCACAGCACACACGTGAAGACTGAAAGGCTGAGAATCGCAGCGGAGATCGCGGAAATGTGCAAAAGGTTTTAAAAGTTCTCCCCGTTAATTTTCAAACGCTGATATCAACGATGCGTAAAGAAAACGGCGTGTATACATTTTAAAAATATGTGTTCACGGGCGGCCCATAAATGCAACGCCTCTGGGTTTTCAGTAAATTTCGTCCCGGTTGGATATTGTTTTAGCGATTTAACGCATATTAATATCGCCGGGACTTAATTAAAAAATATCCGAAAGTATTTTGGAAATGTTTGAGGAACATATATCGAGCCTGACGCATTTTAATTAATTGCTTGCCCGTTGAGCGTGTAATTCTACTTGGTCTTGAGCATTCCAGGAATCTACTTTTTCACTCTATACAGTAAAAAAATTTTACGTAACAAACGGTCCATTAAATTAATTTATTTCTTTAATTTTGGAAGTATGTTGAGAAGAATATAAATATGTTAAAGCCATTCAGTATTTACGGCATTCTACGAGGAAGTCTATTAGCTCACGTGACGACTGTGATGACAGGGAGGGGGAGGTGAAGGTTATGGAACGTCATATTAAACGACATAGTAATTTGTAAATATGGATGTACGTGGTTATACACTTTGTTTGCATTTCCTAACATATTTAGTTATATTTGATGAAAATTTTGAAATTTTGACATAGTAATGATAGTTAATAATCAAAATATTTAAATATTTATCCTTTTGAAAATAACTTTTATTAATTAAAATTATAAAATAAAGTAATTAATTTGATATCATATGCCTAAAAATTACTTGTATTTTAGGGAAAAATAGTAGCGTGAAGTCTAATAATAGTGGTTAACAGTGATAAATAAGTTCATCTGCTAAACACAAATTCTTTGTCCAAATATGGCTATTGGGTCACAATTTTGAGAAAAGTAGTATCAAAGAAACCAAAATGACGTCAATTTTGAAAATTTTTATAATGTTGCAGTACTAGCTACAAATTTTTTCCTATGTTTCATTAACGTCATACAAAAGTATCAACTTTTAACTTTAAAATGCATTTCGTATTGTATTGATATAATTTTTCATTTTCAAAATATATATATATTAGGTAAACCGAAAAGTAATCAAAATTTTTTGTTGTTGGCAAAAAACATTTATTTATTTAAAAAATCCTACATTTCAATCAACAAAATAATTTCCATCATTTTTTAACACTTTTTGCCAGCTTATAGGCAGTTGTTCGATTCCTTTTTTAAAAAAGTCCTTCGATTTTGCATTAAAAAACTTTTCCAAGTGCGTTTTCACTTCTTCAACATTGTTAAAGTTTTTACCTCTTAATGTATGCTCTAACGATCTGAAAAGATGGTAATCCGACGGCGCGAGATCTGGTGAATAAGGTGGATGAGGTAAAAGTTCCAATCCAAGCTCCCTAATTTTTTCCTGTGTTATTTTTGCAGCATGAGGCCTCGCGTTATCGTGTTGAAGGATTCCTTTTTTGTAATTGACCAAAACAGATCGTTTTTTTAAGAGCTCTTGCTTCATTCGCTCGAGTTGTTCACAATACACTGTCGCTGTAACGGTCTGACCAGGTTCAAGCAATTCATAGTGTATGATTCCTGAAAAATCCCACCACACACAAACAAGGACCTTCTTTATTGTTAGTGATTGTTTAGGTATCGGAATAGGTGCTTCTCTGGGAGAAAGCCATTGTTTTTTTTGTACAGGATTATTGTATAGCACCCACTTCTCATCTCCAGTTACAATTCGTCGCAAAATCGGATTGGTTTCATATCGAGACAAAAGATACGCGCAGATTGTAAGCCGTTGATAGAGTGCCGTCTCTGTCAATTCAAGAGGAACCTAAATTTCTTGCCTATACACTTTTCCTATGCAATGAAGATAATCCTGAACTGTAAACCATAGACAGCCGATCTTTAGTGATAATTCCCTTATAGTTTGGCAAGGATCTGAATCCATCATCGCCCTCAGGATATCATCATCTAATTTTTGAGATCGTCCCTTTCGTTCAACATTTTCAAGATTCCTATTTCCATTTTTAAACTTNATATACACTTTTCCTACGCGATGAAGATGATCCTGAACTGTAGACCATGGACAACCGATCTTTAGTGATAATTCCCTAATAGTTTGACGAGGATCTGAATCCACCATCGCCCTCAGGATATCATCATCTAATTTTTGAGGTCGTCCCTTTCGTTCAACATCTTCGAGATTCCAATTTCCATTTTTAAACTGTTTAAACTATCTATAACACTTGTTTAGTTTTAGAACATCGCCGTAAGTGTCGTTAAATTTTTTCACTGCTTCGTTTGCCTTCAATCCTTGATCGAACAAAAATAGCATACAATGACGTAAATGTCCTTCTTCTATTGTTGGCCTTGACATCTTTCCTCCTTGCTAGAACAAAAATTTTTTAACCGAAAAATAGAATTTACAACCAAGCTTGACCGTAGCAACAAAACTTACGTGTTTACTAGACCGTGTCTCCACACAAACTGACTGTGAATGAACACATCGAAAAAATTTTGATTACTTTCCGGTTTACCCAATATATATTAAGATCGAGCACACACGGCCAGTGTTTTTAATTTTAGCTCTATCTTGAAAATGAAAAATCATATCGAAATGATACGAAATGCATTTTAAAAAGTTGATACTCCTGCGTGACAGTAATGAAATGTAGGACAACAATTTTCTGTCGATGCTACAACGTCATGAAAACCTTTGAAATTGACGTTCTTGGTTTCTTTGACGCCATTTTTCTCAAAATTGTGACCTAATAACCAAATTCGGACAACGGATTCGTGTTCAGCAGACGAAAAGTATTCTGGAACATCTATTCTCATTCCGGATACAGATAAAAAGTTAAAATCTGTTGACTAGTGTAATTATTACTTACAATACATGATTATAAACTACTTTTTATTCTATGTGTCGACGGGTAATTCCACATGTCGCATATTGGAATGTTATATTGGAAGGGGACAAATACTTTGTGACGAGATTTTTGACGAAGGGGTGGCAGGGAGGGGCAAAGAAGGCAGGGAGTATTTAAATTTAATACGAGAATGGTCCCTAAATTAATATATTCACTCACTTCATTTGTTAACGTATTACTTTTCAACATATTCATCTTTTGTTAAAGTAACACAAAAATTTAGACGGACCCTTTGTAACATTATTACTTTGTAGGAAAAGATGCCGTTGTTTAACTAGACCGGTCTTGTCGTACGACGATAGTAACAACGATGTCATTGTCCATCTCAATCCCCCCGATGATGAACTAACAAAGCCTAGGGAGGAGAAGCTTGCTCCGCGAGAAGAGATACATCCCTTCTTCGAGAGATATCTTTCTCAATCCTCCGGTATATAATGGAATATATAATCGGATTATCACGGATTAATTCATCGACCGAATTATTCAAGTATCGATTGAATCCGCTCGGTGACAATTAAACGATCATCCCAATTATCCGTCGCGCTAAGAAGCGACGAGCGCGATACATAAACGCACGTTCTCGCAGCGTCCAGTTGGGGCTAATACCGACAACAACGTAACAGGGAAACATATGCGCGCCTCGTTCGATCGGCTTTAATTAATAACGGATTATAAATATGAAGATTCGAAATTCCCCAGTAAATCTGCAGTACCGTGAAATTTTAATTCTGGCTGCGAGCGTGTTCGCGCTCATGAACCGTCCTTCGTGAATTGCTACCGGCTGTTTACTTAGCGTTTCGCGCGCGCAGATTATCGAATGTGATATCAAAATATTTCGGTATCACGATAGTTTTGTTAATCAATATTTGAATTTATTCGGAAAATCGCCATGAATGACAACTGCGAGACGGCCCGTTATCGCGCGCAAAGTATATGTTAAAGTGAGACTATCGCCGCTGCTGCACTTTTAACGCGAAAATTTGCAGTTAGAAATTATAATGAGCGTATTATTAACATAATAATATTCATAGGTCGGTTATGAAAAAAAAACGATCATAAAAATTAACCAATTTGAGAGAAAGATTTTCCGATTTAATTGTTGAGTTTTTCGGGTTTTATATTTAACGCTGGAAATTATACGGCTCGGTCGTTTGTGAAATAAAAGGATGAATGAAAGAGTAATAAGCACATCGGCACGGACTTTGCGGAACAAATTTTTCGGTTTAAATTTTAATTTAGCTGTTCATTATGCAGTGATATAATATCGAAAATTGTAAAATATTTATGCAAATTGAGCAAATTTTATCCATTTATACGGAGCAGTGGAGCGATCGTATTCAAATAATTTCACGGGAATAATTAAAAAATATAATGCCAGATATTATAATGAATTATCAGGTTGTTAACTCAGATTAATCAGGTTGTTAGCATATTTTCAAGTCTTTAGTTCGCCACACTCCAGCCCATGAGACCGATCGCCTTTTTCGCCTTGTTATTTTCATTCTAATTAATATTTTTAAGCTTGTAATGTAGGAATTGAAAATATAAATGCATATTCCCGTAAAAAAGTAGCGAAATTCAAAAAATAGGACATCCCGAAAACTGAATACCGAGATAATCTCCCAAAATATAACTTCCCCGAAATATCGAGAGCATGCAATTATTTCGAAAAATCATAATCTCGAGCACTGAGTATCGGGGCAATTTTTTGAAATGTTGGAAGGAAATAAAGTTAGAATTTGCGAAATAATTCTAATGTTTCAGAAAATTGCTCCGATATTTAGTATTCGACGTTGTGATTTTTCGAAATAATTAGTTTGAATAAGATGTTTATGATATCAGGTCAAGAAAATGATTTTGGTTTAAACTAAATTTATTTTAAGAAAAGTGTTTTCAGAAATATTTTCAAATTATTTTACAAATACGATTTAAAAGAAATGTTTGTTCATTGTAACGGATATTTGATATTAAAAGAAAAAAGTATGTCATATAAAAACTAAGAAATGGAAAGTTATTCAGCAGATGATGCTCTATTTAATCAAAATATAGCGAATAGTTTTCTTAAATTTTCGCAAAAATTACCTTTGGGAAAGAAACAAATTTTTTCGGGGTTTTTTTCGAAAAAAACCCGTCATTTTAAGAAAAATATTATTTTTATGACACAGAACACGCACACGACGTCCTCAGATGAGATTTTTCCGTTTAAAATTTTTAGCTAGAATAACATAGTGCGTTATTTAGTTAATTACTGTATTAAAAAAATTATAATATATAAATTATAAATTATTACATATTATTANTATTACATATTATTAAATTACTCTATTATATGGAAAAGAAATTTCAGTTTATATAACTTATAAGCATTACACGGAACAAGATAATATCTGTATTATTACAACTGGAAACATTCGCCTGAACATTGAATTGTATTAAAACTTAATTATGATAACTATATACAATTGACAGTTGAAATTTCTTGCAGGAAACTTTCTATCCCTACAACTGAGTTTTTTGTCTGGCAACATACACATTAACCTTCTTATATTATATTATATTATATTATATTTTGTTTTGTACCTTCTTATATTATATTATATTTTGTACATTTTGTTTATTATAATTTTACAGTTTAGGAAGAAAACACAGAGAGACACAAAGTTGTTTCATTGGCTATATTTCAACTTAATATCTGAAGACGATATGTAACCAATGGAACCAATGAAACGACTTTACCTCTCTATGTCTTTTGTGTGCTAGAAAACGCATTTCGATAGAGAAATTAATTCTTTGCGTAGTCATTCACCGATCCTGGTTCCCTATAAGCTAAAATTTCCGTATTTTTCCTATTTTTCCATGCTTTGGGAAAAACGGTAAAAATCCAGGTTTTTTCTTAAATTTTGTAGGGCTTTTTCTAGCCTTCAGAATACTAATAGCGAATTAAGGTTAAATATTAAAGAGACACAGAAAGATTTTAGAGGATTTGTATTGAGTGCGTTCGTTTCTTCATTTTTCCATTTTTATTTCTACACACACACACACACACACACACACACACACACACACACACCGAGTTATACAAAATCTATCGACAATGAAAATAGCAACTGGGAAGTGCAAACATCTTCCTTATTCCATGTATAATAAATCAACCTAATTACCTCATTGAGCTTTCATGGGAGAATCGACAAGTCACAAAATAACAAAGCAAATCGCGCTTCTGCCGAGCAGCAACGTGAGAAATTCATGAACCGCTACGGATGCGCGCGCTATTAAATCCGCGTCCGAATTAAATTCTATTTCTCGATAACCGAACGACTGACTTTCGTGATTCGCAGTTGCGCCCACGTGCAAGCCGAACCAGACAAAGGTCCACGGCGTGGCGAAGCAGGAGAAAGCGAATATATCCTGCCAAGTGGACGCGAATCCGCCGGAAGTGCAATTCCGCTGGACCTTCAATAACTCCGCCGAGAGTATCGACGTGGCGGCAGGGCACATCGCGCGTGCCGGCACATCTTCCATCGTTTCGTACACACCAATGACAGAATTAGATTACGGCACGTTACTCTGCTGGGCCACCAATCACATCGGGCATCAACAAGTGCCCTGCGTCTATCATATCATACCGGCAGGTAAGATACCCTCGTATTACTGTGCTCGTCGCTTTGATATTCGCGAAGACATCATCGACCGACCGAACGATCGGTCGACTGACCGCTGCGATTGGATGCATTTCGAAAGAGATCTCATCAACCGCGAGATCACGCAACCGTGATAAAATTATGGCAGCGAGGTAGAAACGAATTGCGGAGAATCGATCACAGCCGATGATCGGCTGACTGTCGTGAATCAAATATAATTTCTTTCCTTTAATTTCTTCTCGATATGTTTTAAGGTGAATGTCCCAATTAATAACAAAATAACCTTATCGTGAAAATAAATGAATAAATTATTGCAATAATTTATGTATTATAGTATTTCTATTATTATAGTAATTCTATAAGTATATAGAATTAATTTTGTTCGAAAGTTTAAACATTTTTAATTTTAATCATTAAATTTTTTATAGCATTTTAATTAATTTACAGTATGCTCTCTCAAAAATGTCGGAAGTACCATTTAGTGACATGTAACTTTGCTTTTGTCCTAATTTGTGACATATGTATGTATGCTTATATTGACTGACTAATGACCATCATATGGGCAATCCTATTATTGACGGGCAAAAATCATTATTCAAATATCACGAATTAGTACAAAGTAAGAAACGTCTTAACACTCTTAAATCGCAGACTTAAACATAGCAGTTTATAAGCTAAGAACTCATATTCGTAAATTTACTAAATTTTAGAGAAGTTTTAATCTTGATATTATTTCTTAATTTTATGAATAAAATTTATATAATGAATAAAATTACAACTCACATTTTGCCTCTAGGAATAGGAATGTTCATATGATTTTATATCATATATTTATTTAAGACGTCACAATAGTCGCTGTGACTGTCTTATTTATATATTTATATATTTAAAATAGTTTTAAATATTTATATGTATTAAATAATTTAAATATCGAGTTAGACTAAGAAGGAACAATTTTTCTTAATATTTGAAACATCGAGAGCATATGTAGCTTCAAGGTAACATTAAAATTAAATCTGTATAATTACGGGCTCAAGAAAAAAGAGAACAAGAAAGGAAAAAAGGAGAAAAAAGTTTATCTTAAATATGATGTCTTAAATGTCCGTTTTCTCTTTCGTTAGTATAAAAAAATCAGTTGTTTTAAGTACTTATATACATTTAATAATCAAAATACTGAAAGTATTTATTGTTTCAAAAGTAGTATTAAAATGAACTCTATAAAGTTAAGGATTCAAGAGAGAAGTTAACAAATGTAGTCAAAGTAGGTTTTTTACTAGTCTATAGGCCATCCAAATAGGTGCAAACTATCTTTAAGAACACCAAAACATCTGAATTTCGACTTGGGGCGTTATCGGAAACGTTAGTCCTGCAGCACCACGTGCTGCGCGTACGATCGTTTTTCATTCAAAATCCGACTTAGAAGAAACGCAACGCAAGTTTAACGGAGGATAATACACCGTTACCGCCATTATTTCGCCGTATTTCCCCGTATTATATTGATGCTCGTGTTACCAATTAATTGTCATTCTCGGGACGTGCTATCGGATCGCCGCGGTGCAAAGGAAACGCGCGCGCGCGCGCAAAACACAAAAACGTTCATGGTGCATTCGAGATATAAAGGAAAACAGCTTTTGCCTTTCACGCGCGAGCACACGTGCACACACCGTCACGAGAAGCGAATACGACGAGATAAAAAGAGGACGAAACAATAGCAAAACGATGGGCCTGCCGCGAAATGGTAGCAAGTGTCCGGCGCGATGATTTTTCAGCAACCATAAACGCGAGAACAACTCTCGTCGCATATTCTCCCTTATTTCCTTTCCTTTATTTCTCACCCGGCGCAATACGCCGTATACTTTCTCCGTTGTCGGCCCCGTCCTTCCTTCCCTCATCTTCCTCGCCAGCCGCGAAGTGCGCCGGCGGCTAATACCTTTACGGGAAAAAGCTAAACAACTGTGTATCTTTACAGTCAGCCGCGGTTGCAAGTAGCTCATACGTGCCAACACATCGTGAACCGGATTTACAGGCCAACTATCACACCCTGATTCGCGAGTGTCGGTCGGACAGAAACGACGATGCCGTCGCGCAAGCGACCGACGACGACCCCTTTTTCTTCGTTTTTGTTCACGCGCGCGCGGGAAAGGACAGAGAGGGGTTTCGTCGTTTCGAGAATAACGAAACGAAACGAAGCGAAGATATATTCTCGCTATAGTCCGATATTAATTTATTTATCCTCGCAATTCGATTGGCCGGCAAATAGAGAAATAGGCAAATATTTCAATCCGATACTGTCAAACCTTTGAAAAATAACGGTTATTTAAAACATTGAAACAAATTTGATATCCGGTAATCATTTTCATAGGAGGGTGGGGGATAGAACTAAAAGGCCGTGATATAACCGTCAAAACTTTTGATATCTTCAATTTGCATCACGCGAACGTGATGCGTGTAAAATCCAATTTCATATTTGTTTCGTTCGAATGATGGTTTTTGCGCAACAAGCAAGATCCCTATTATCATCACATGGTCTTCCTTAAACCGGAATCTCACGGCGCGAATCGTCGTGGTTCAGTGTAAACTCCCTCAAGTAAAAGTTTTGGACGTCTCCGACTTTGATAAAAAATGGCGTCTGACTTGTTACTGGAATGTTTCTATCAATGAAGGGTGTCTAATAGATTATAGACACTGTCTATAATATATCGAATTTAAACACATTTTTCTGAGGATATATATGTGATTTATCTTATTATATATAACGCCATTTGCAAAACTAGATTTTTTAATTTCTGAAAAATTAAGTTTCCCATTATTTTATTTATCTTTCATCGTCATTATCAAGAATAACATTTAATTACACAAATAGAGTCCCTTTATTTAATGATCCTTAATTCCGCCATTTTTATCAAATAAATAACTAACCAATCAGTAAGAAGTCGGAAATGTTCCGATTTTTAGGGTGACTTTTACCAATCTCCGGTTAATGTAATCAGACTATTGACACGATGGAATTAACCAATCGCATTGATCAGTTGAACTAATTGGCCAATGCAATCAATTCTGTTGAGTTAATTGTCTGATTACATTAACCGGAAGTTAGTGAAAAACACCCCTGAGGAATTAACTCGACAAGCTTCTACGTGTCATAAAATCAGGATGGCTCATGGCTCGTAACTCATCCTTCCCATTAGTTGTTAGTAAATAGACCGCGAGCCAATGGACTAACCGAGTCACGAATTAACAAGTCGTACCGTTGGGCTGACGACTCGTCAATACTCGCACAAACTTGTCCATATTTGCAAATAATCAAAGAAAATATATTCATTGCCAGTTCAGTTTCGTGTACATTATAGAGTGGTTAAAACAAGAAAACTGCGGAGAGAATGTTTAGAATTACATGAAAGAGAAGAATTAATATAGATCCATAAATATAGGTTCCTGGGAGGTTATGACCGATATTCATCAAATCTTATATTTAAGATCATCTTAAGGAAATTATCTCGTCTAGAACGGCTATCTCGTCTAGAACGGCTAAAAATAGACATACTTCGTAAATTTTTTCAAGTAAACAGTAAAGTTTTCACTATTAATATTTCTTGGGAATTATTTAATGATATCTCGACAATATTTTTTAATTTTTGGAAACATATAATATTTGCAATATTGGCAATACAGTAATGTTAAGAAAATGCTGTGAAAAAAATTTGATTGCATGGTACCGTAATGATTGCGCTTTGCCCGGTTATTTGAAACAAATGAACCAAATTATATTTTATTCTTTGAATGTGGTTATCGTTTGAGCTATAACGGCTATCAAACGCATAGAAATAACAAAATGGTCATTTTGAAGGAAAACATCGCGTTTTTACGCGTTTCGATCTATAAAGTGCAGTAAAAAATCAAATTTTTAATAAATCATATTAGTTGTAATTCAGACATTAGAGGGATGTATATTTTATATTCTGCTTGAGTTTTGTGAGCCACATCGGTAAAATCGTTCTTGAGATATCGTGGGTACCAGTTTGAAAAATGTGATTTCGAGAAAAACGCGTTTATAGTTTTCTATTCGGATTTTAATAAATGTTTTTATACTTACATTTAATCAGCTATACCAAGGGCCTATAGATATTCTTCTTCTCTCTCGTACAAACTAGCTTGATCAGTTGCTTGTTCTCTTTTCACTTTTCTGGTCTATATTTTTTCATTCTCTGAACGTTTTAACCTTGTGTCATCGCGAATTTTCACTGTAGCTTTTGTAACGAGTCCAATTTTTACTCTCATCATTGTCATTATTTTTAAGTCAGAATAAAATCGTCGAATAACAATTTTTTTTTTCTTAGTTCATTGATCAACTATTGTTCAACTATTTTGATCGTTGAAACTATTAGTAGACCAAAATATATCGGAAAAAGAACATTTATTTACAGGATGTCCTAAACTAATTTCGGTTCCCATGATGTGCAAGTAAAACGGGTGAAACTGAGTGTAAAAGTCATATAACATTTTGCAAAATTCGCAAAGAAACGCGCTCTCACTATCAATTCTACCCGTTCCACCTGCATACCACGGGAACGGTTTGGGACATTCTGTATAAATAAGATTATAACATAGATTTGTCTTTACGAGAAAATAATAATATGGAACGGTAAATCTAAACTTCTGCAAAGAAAGAGATTCAGGCCTGCAAAGAGAGATTCGTCTTATACACTGTTCCATTCAAATACTTGTAACATCGTCAATTTTACAGATATCACTAAAACGTTTTAATAACATATTTTAGATCTAAAGTTTGAAAAAAATGCAAGAAGAAAAAATAAAAAATGTTGAAGATTCACGTGAAGTAACTCTTTTTAATTCATCTTCAAATACTATATGGATAGTTTTGATTACAAAGTTTCTGAAGATTAACTTAAGACGACTTTGAATGCGTTCCGTTAAATATGTTGAAAGTATTCCTTTTTTTATTTACAAGATTGGTGGCTTTTTAACTAACTTGGCTATGTTCCATAATGGATCAGCTGATATTATAATTTCCACTTACCTTATCTATGAACTTCTTTACCAATCTTTACTCACGATCAATTTTTTTTGTAAAAAAATGGATAAGAGTAACGAAACGAAAATTGCGTAAAAAGAAAGAAAGAGTGCAAAATTTTATTGAAAATGTAAAATTTTCAGATAATTGAAGGTTGAACGTTGCATTCTGAAATTTTTACTGTTTTTTTTTTATTTTCATATGATTAATGATTATACTAATAATTATATTAATTAATTAATTAATTAATTCTATACACACCGAAAATATTCTTGAAATTTTTCCTTCTTTCATAATTATATTTTTAATACAATTTTGAACTATTGTTTCTTACTTTTGACACATTTTTTATCGTTATTCTCATAAATAATATTTATTATTTGTTCATCAGTTTCAGAGTCTTCAAAATGAAATACTTCATCAAATATAAGTAAATTCATTTTTTATAAAAAATGATTGTGAGTGAAGATTCCCGATGAGAAATAGAACGTTTACGTATAATCCACATGAAATCCATGTAAGAAAGTCGATTCTATGTCAATTCCACATCGATTCCATGGATGTTCTTATGGGGTTGGTGAAGAGGCTGATGAACGAGATAGGTAGAAATCATAATAATTGTTTTCCAGCAAGAGACACAAGTCTAGTTATATTATTATTTGTCCTTGTTTCGCATTTAAAGGAAAGGATAACCGATGATATAACTAGACTTGTGTCGATTTGTGTCTCTTATTGGAAAGCAACCAATATCAGCTGATCGATTACGAAACACAGCAAAGTTACAGAGAGCTACCAATCTTATAACTAAGGGATATTTTGTAAAAAAGGGATATTTTCGACAGAGCTAACGAAACACATCCTCTAAATATAAGATCTGACTATGAATACCAGCCTATGTGACTCGTTGAGGCTCGTTGCTCGTGAATGTTCGAATCGAGACGAGCATAGGCGAGTCACGAGCCATAGCGAATCACGCGCCCTAGAACCCCGACTTTATCCGACGTTCAACATCGATTTTCCGGCGCGAGAGCGCGTCGATCGTCCTCGACGGAAGAGCACCACGCACGAACTCGCTCTCGGGTGGCCGGCGACGTTATCGCGACTTCTCGTGCTCATTACGAGCTGTTACGAGCGCGAATGGTTCCGTGCACGCGGCGCATATAAAAAGCCAAGCGAACACCTTATCCGTGACAGGCCGACCGGACATGGTTCACAACTGCACGATTTCGAACACGTCGGCCAATTCGTTCTCGGTGCGATGCGCGGAGGGCTTCAACGGCGGCCTGCCGCAGTCCTTCCTGCTGGAGGTGCGCGAGAGCAACAGCCAGATGTTGCGTGCCAACCTGACGTCGCCGGTACCGCGTTTCAGCGTCACTCAACTGGAGTCCGGCGTCTATTATCAGGCCTGCATATATGCATACAATGACAAGGGTCGCAGCGAGGCGATGGTGGTGCAAGCCGGCACTCTCCCGCCGCCGGAGAAGCAATTGACGTCCGAGTCGGGTGAGTTCCTCGCTTCTACTTGCTCGTGAAACTCGCGTCTGAGCGACGACACGGTGACGCGGTTAACGACGAAACGATGAGAAGAGGAAGACCGGCCACTCGACGTGACGGGCAACACGGCCGAACTCTCGCGAGTATCCGTTGTCCGAGTAAATTGATACTAATTCGATGTTCGCAAAAATTCTCACGAGCGATGTTAGCGAAGTCCCGAGGAGGAGTTCGATAATTTCTCAACGAGCTCCTCCGGCACTTGGAAATTCCGCGAGGAAATATCGCCCCGGGAAAACCGTCAGCAGCCTACACGAGTACTTCTCTCACGAACTCTTTCTCGTGCGGGAAGTTAAAAAATTTCCCAGCGCGAGATATCGTTGATATCGCGTTTCGCGTGCAGCGAGATTATCGCAGATGGAAAATACCTATTTACGGGGGAGCAAAATTGGAAAACTTAATTAGCTCGATGAAATTTCACGGAACAAATAAAATTCTATTTGTGCGTTTTATCGAAAAAAAAGCGGTTAATCAAACCACTCTTTCTCTCTCTCTCTCTCCCTCGGAGAGTATATGAGTTTAACAGAGTTAGGAAACCTCTGCCGGCTTGTATTAGTCTTCTCAACAATTCCCGCAAATAACTACTATTTCTTCGCTATTTCTCCGATACCGAAACGTATTCGGTTAAATAATATGCATAATCTGAGGTGATTATACGCGGCCGGCGTAATTACGGAAAAATTTCACGCGCGGATCGCACACGGAGGGCATCGCCAATTGGTCGGACTGATGAAAAGCTATCGACTCAATATTAATTCGCCGATTGAGCCGCGTAAAAAGCTGCTGGGAGCTTTTATGACCGCGCGGGAAAGCAGGGATTTGCGATTTAATACTATCGGACGATTTTCCCGTTATTTTCCCAATGCGATTGTTATCGTAATTTTTAATTCGCTCGCCACCGATTGGATCAGACTTTTAATAACTTTGTGCAGGTGAAATAGCGCACCGTAGTGCGCTATAATCGGGGCATTACACGCTGTATTTTGACGAAGTACACGAATATATATTGTATAATTTCGAAAAAAAGTAACGAAATTCAGAAAGTAGGACAACATCCCGAAAAATCGCAATCCCAAAAACTTAATACCGGGACAATCTCCCGAAATATTGGAAGAAAATGAAGTTGTCTCGCGAAGTTATAACTTTTTCCGATATTTCGGGAGATTGTCCCTATGTTCAGTTTTCGGGATTGTGACTTGTCCGGATGATGTTCTACTTCTCAAATTTCGGGATTTTGATTTTCCGGGATTACGCATGTCCACCGCACGAATGAATCAAGCATCACGCGCGCGTCAAATTTCTTTCAATTCTCCTCTCTCTCTATTTTTGCAAAAATCTGTTACGTCAAATGTGATACAATATTTCTCAGCGACTATAAAACGACTCCTAAAATATTGTCGTATCGTATCATCTCTGAAAAATTCAATGCTTTATCGGAGTCTGAAAATGTTTGAAATACTGACGTTTTTATGAGAGCGAATGTTCGAATTCAGGTCAAAGTGAGATATTAAACATTAAAAATTATCGTACGAAGACACGTCGTTAACCGTGGGAATCGTTCGATCGCTACTGAGATCGCTTCTGATTTTCATCCGTTCGACCGACCGCGTTTACAGAACGACCAAGGCAGCACGTCAAATTGACACCGATGCTGAGCGTGATGATCGGCGTGGTGACTGCCCTCATCATCGTCGCAGTTATAGTGATGATCGTTTTACGGATTCAGCACACGCACGTGGACGAGCAGAACAAATCGCAAATGGAGGATCACGCGAAGCAAACGAAAGCCGTTCCCATACAGAGAGAGCTGAGATTCCGTGAAGGGTGCAGCCTGCTCGCGGATGAGAAACACCCAAGCAGCCCGTTCAGAAAACTTGATACCAGCGGCGATTTGAGCGAGAGCGACGAGAAAAATCCGGACATCATTCCGCAGCAGATCACTGGTTTGCATATAACTATAAATGATTCGCCTTCGATGCCGACCACGATTCCGTATTATTAAGATAGTTGGTCCGTAAATTTATTTTCTTAGGGATCTTTTCAAATTTTAACAGCATATTAATTGAAACACGAACTACATATAAAACTCGAAGAAGATCGACATGTAAAACTCGCAAAAAAGATTGACTATATTGAAACTAAGATACTTGAAATCAAAGTTAGCACTATTTATATGTATCACAAGTACGAAGGTTTCAAAGATATCATGATTTAATTTTAGCAACTAAACTACTCTTACGGTTTTAATGAAAAACGAGAAGACGATAAAAGAGATTTGTAGAAATATTACAAAAAAGTTACAAGATCATTGACTATCTAGTTGTTCAGAAATTGATATGTAAAATACATAATTTCTAATAACGATTAAAGTATATGACAATTAATATATAAAGATTTGACAAATATTATGCGCGCTATTATTTCCCTTTTTATATCTCTTGGTAAGGTATCTTTTTAAAGATAGAATAGTTAAATAATTTTAAAGATTTATTATTAATACGTAAAAATGCGAAAAATATAGAAAAATACGGATAAAACAACGTTACGATTATTTCTCTAGTGACATATATGTGTGCGTCCATCGGAAGGTGGAAGAGAGTATGACACTTTCTTTTTAATAAGTTTTGGAACGCATCCCGTGTTCAAGTTATTTCTTAGTTATTCTCAAGAGATACATTCTCCTATTGGATACGAGTTGCGAAACTCAAAAAGAAGTATGACAACTTTTCCGTTCACGACAATATAGAAGACTCCATTAATGCTGTCTCACTCTCTAAGCATAATAGTATTGCTTAGGAAAACTTCTAATTAGATGTGCGCTTTTTCAATATTTGTGTATCATGACTGTTGATAATTTGATGAATCGACAACAATGCTCCAAAGCAGCAGTCATGATGTACAAATATTCAAAAGAAATATGCCTAATTGAAAATTTAAAATGTTATTGTGCCCATAGAATGAAACAGCATTAATGGAGTTTTCTGTACTTATGATATAAGATAACTCTTGTATTTACGCCGCAAAAGTCGGAAGAAATAAAAAGAGTGGGAATAATTTACTCGCATCCACTCTGTTATATATACCTTTATATCATGTTAGTATTGTGTTATGATTTCAATTTTTTATTGTTAATATTAAAACCCTCGTGAATTGAATCCTAATGTAGTAAATAGCACAATCGTATATTACGACCTGCTTAAAATGATTACTGTAGAGAATGTAAAAGGTTTAATGATTATTTTGCGATATATAAATGTAGAAGGATATTAAAGGATAGGATATAGCAAAATACACAAGTACTTAGCTTTTGTATTCTTTGTTTAGCTTGATATCTTATATATCTCACCTACTTAAAATATATGACATTTTTAGCGTATGGAATTTATGTCGCAGTACAGACATTTAGCAAGAAAGCATTTCGGGTTTGGTTTATACAGTAAATGTTGCAAATGTTATTGCATTACCATCTGTAAAACAGAATTTTTATTTATGTTATACATTTGTAAATTATTTTTACTATTACTTTTCATATATTTATTTCTCATTCTTATATCCTAATCAATTTTTTACACACATTTTATAAGTCGTATAATTTCACGTCTTATTTGTATCATTTGTAAATTTTTTATAAACCATATATCCTACTCATGAATGATCATATATATCATCCCTATGGGATATATGGCAAAAATACAAGAATTTCTAAAAGTTTTTCTGTTAAATATAAAAAATAAATATTTCGTATTTCCAATTTCTTTTATAGTAATAGACAGCATACAGTCTTAATTTGTATAGTTCACTTGCTTTAAACGTAATAAATAATATTTGATAAATTAAGTTGTTCTTAAGATGCAGCGTATATATTGGAGTTACCCTATTCATAAACATGTCAAAATATGTCTAACCTAATACGGACAGTTCCAGCCAAAAATATTATACGTTAAAGCGAGGAAAATGATTATTTCTTTACGAATTTTTATACATTATGTACGTTTGATTGCTATTCTCTTACTATAGAGTGTCAAAGATGTATATCATAAATAATATTTATAAATATTTAGCACGAATTTCTCAAGCTTCTTCGTGTTGTATGAACCATTATTTTTCTAACAAGTATTATCACAGACCAACTATTTTAATCTCGAACGTAGCAAAAAAGAAATATAAACGAAGACGAACAGTAAATAGAACGAACAATTTTAATAAAAATTATTACAAAAATTGTCACAATACAAATTGTAATATGACAGAATTAATATGATAAGAAATGGGAAGCTCTTTTATCTTTTCGAATATATCTGTTCCGAATGTATCTTTCGCGAATATCATGTGATAAAAAGGAGAAATAGGAGCACGTGAGATTTATACAAATATCGCGCGAGTATTCGAAAGTACGTGTGTATGTGTTTTATTCGGGAGAAATGAAAGAGAACCTCGCCGATAAAGCTCCTTTACTACTCGCTCCTTCGCACGTTTATCAATTCTTTTCGTTTCCTTTTTTCTTTCTTTCGCCCATTTCTTACCTTTTTTCGGAACACGCTCGTAAAACTCTCGCGACATTTTCGGTTGTAAAACTTTCGCGGAATTTTTCCGCAGGAGACGAACCGTCGGAATATTTAAGGAAGAGACGTCTGGTGTCAACGATCGAGACGTCACCCTCGAGGAGTCTCTTGGAACACTCGACGGTGACTTCCATCAGCGGACATAGCAGTTACGTCGGTTACTGCACGATCCGCAACGGCATGCCACTGCACGAGTTCTCGAACTTGTCAACGAAGCACAAAAGCGTAAGTTCCGTCGCAGTCTAAGTAATGCAAACACTTCACAAATATTCCCGTAGGTGTTTGACGAAGTAACATAATAACTTGCGAATATCGATAGGCTAAAAAGGAGGCTCGAATCTTTGCGCAAGTTTCGGACTTGTGTCGAGTAATTGAACGAGAAATATCAATGTGGGATGCGGTTAGCACAAGATACAGTCGATGATAACACCCTTTTTAACGAGGGGAGAAAGTCCAAGCAAATGTTTCTGTTAACTTCCGGAACTATCAGCTCAGTCCACAAGTTCGATTCGATTTTCAATAATTGGCGTCACGTGCCTGTAATACAAGTACGCAAGTTCAAGTCGAAACTGTGGTGCTACGTTGATCCTGCAAATTCCGTCGAACTTGAAGGACCAAATGAAGAATCTCGAGATATAACGCTATATAAACTATTGCCCTTGTTAATACAAATGGGTATTTACTGCCGTTTTCTCCATGTTGAATCTAAAACTCTCCTTTCATAATTATTTAATATTCCATTATCTCAATATTCCTGCATTTAATCTTTATTGATATATAATTTCAGTCAGCAGCACATATATATTATATTATATTTACATACATTATATTATATTTACATATATATTATATTACATTTACATAGTTGAGTGAGAAATTATAACATAGATGTAACGTAACTGATGTTCCGCGTTTATTGAAATATTAATTATACAACTTAATCAGCTGCAAACAATATGAGATAAGGAAATATTAAATAATCAAATAAAGATTGGCGAATGCAGGCAAATGAATAAAAGAAATAATAATTTATTCTCATCCCTTCTAATTTTTATTTCTTTTCTATTCTTTCGCGTGTGAAGATTCGAATTTGAAGCTCTTAAGAGAATTGATTTGAAGCTGTAAAGGAAAAGAAAACAATTTATGTGTCCAATAATATTGTGTGTTTACGAATAGAAATTTAAATTTGGATTCCGTATGATAACAATATTAAATAGAAAAATGCTAGCAGATATAAACAAGAATGTAAACAAGATTGCATTTGTGATGCAAGGAGCATTATTAAATGTAAAAGCCAGCATTTGCAAACATTAACATTTAATATTAAGGCCGGTATTCATAGTTACGAATTATATTTTAATCAATCGACGAGAACGAAAAATAACACACTGACACATGTGCTCCATGTGTACGCGTACTACTCGCCGATTCGGAATGTAATGAAAGCACTCGGAAAAGCGTACGACATGAGAGAATACGTGTGACTTCCCTGAAGATCCGGACTCTCTTGGTTGTTGTGATCACTCGGCCTTCATATATTTAGCAACGACAGTTGACAATTGATATATTTCTAGCATCAAAAATAAACATATAATATAGAGATGAATAGAAATCAAATTTATTATTTCACTTAATTATATTTCCATTAATTATATTTGCTTATTAATTTTTGTTGATGAGTTTATATTTCTTGCCTAACGTTTTTATATCATTATACGACGCGTATTTTTCTATTTCGAGTAGTACATCATATTTTATGGCTCCTGTCTCCCCGCCATCTTGATTAATGATATCAGAAAAGCGAGAAAACGTACGCCCAAAATTTTTGCGGAATATATCAACATAAAAAGTTATGTTCATAAAATGATACATATTTGTAAAATATTCCGAAAATTCTTTTTACTTTAATAATATAAATAGTTAAGAATCAATAGATTAATTAACATGACAAAATTATAAAGAAAATTAGGCTAAGATGAAAGATTTCTTATTATGTTAATTTTACGGTTATTTATTAATTGTTCGAATAAAACGAAAATTACCGGAATATTTTACAAATGTGCTCAATCGATTACAAGTGTAATTTCAGTTACAGTTGTAGTTAACTTAGAGATTTTTTAACATATTTTTTTACTTTCATATATTTCTCATGAATTTTTGGCGCGCGTTTACATGTTAACGCTATCCAACAAGACAACTGCAGCAAAGAACTATGAGCTTTACCAAAAAATTATGGACCAGGAGCTTTAGCAAAATATATTTAATCGGCTCTTGACATATTTAATCGGACTCTTGACATCGCGTTAATTAATGCCTATTTTCTCCAATCCAATCGTATCTACGCGAGTTGTGTCATGATGGGACAGCCAGGTCCAGGATACTGGATCGAAAAGTCAGGACAGAGAATACAGCACGCGAACAACGATACATCATATATTTCCAAATATATTAAGCGGTACGATGGTGCCATGACACCGATAAATAATAAACACATATTTCATATATATGCATATCTCCAACGACAAAAATAAACATATAATATGGAGATGAAGAGAAATCAAATTTATTTCGCTTATCCATTAATTACATTTGCTTATTAATTTTTGTTGGATTATGTAATATTTGCTTATCATATATGTTTTATGTGCAGTTAAATTATTCAGTTAATATATTGTTTATTGAAATTAAGAATAAAGATGAAATGCAGGTACAAGATTAAAATAATCGGATATTAAATATTTTTGAAATAAGCCTTTTCAGCGTTGAGAAAATGTTATCACTTATTGAATCAAAGTGGAACAATGTAATTTGTACAGTGCCCTCCAAGTTGTAGAATTTTTATATTAAATTTATAAGTTTGTAGAAAAAATTTGTAGAATTATTATGTGACGAAATCGATTTCGACTCGGGGCAATACTGTCCTGCTGCCAAAATGTGGACAAAATATCACAAAGAACAACAAAAATTCCTCGGTTGACGACTAATTGATTCCCGTGGAATACAATAAAGTGGAAATTCGAGCAAGAAAAAAATCGAATCAAACTTTTGACTGATCCAATATAATTATTCTATTTTCTCCATACCATTACACCATCAAGCATCGATAGTCGTTCGTTTATTCGTCCGTTTATTCGCTCGTCCGTTAGTAGATCGAGCACGATGGCCAATGGCAGGCGGAAGTATGATGAGTGACGCGTTACAGTTTCAGCCGATGGTGGGCGACGTGTACGAGAGCGGTGTTTGCACTCTACCGAGGCAGCACTGGCCCAGCCAGAATATCCAGTCGATGTCGATGTCGATGAGTCCTCCGATGCTGTACGCCGGCCTGGGCGTCGTCAGTAGGACCTGCCCGAGCGGCACGTTACTGACGAAGGACTGCGAGGCGAGGATGCCCGGCCAATGTTGTCCGGTGCAGTCGCAGAAAGACGGAACGATAAGCACGCCTGTGGTGATGGCCAAGCGAGAGAGCTCCGTGTGACCCTACATCCACCACGGGCCCTGCACCATGTGCAACGTGAGCGAACTGCTGTGAGAGCCTTGTCGACCGCGAGACAGCCGCCAGTCCCGAACGACACAGATGATCTCCGAAAGATCACAGATCACTCCGAAAGATGATCGAGAGGATTCGGAGGATGCGCGACGATGTCTCTCGCGATTACGATTTTTCCTTCTAGAGGGATCTACCGAGGAACGTCCGGGATAGATTAAGGTATCGTTTGAGGGGCAAGGGGTGAGTTAAGGGGCGTCCGAGAGACTGCAGTGTCTATTAACGATCTCGATGATTAAAACTCGCAACGGCAGGAAGAGGTATTTTTCCGGTACCTGAAGAGAGGATACTCCCCGAAAAGGGATCGGGACATCCTGTGGAGACGGCATCCGGCGTGTCGTTCGGGACGCTTAGAGCGCGCACGCGCAAACCGGTTCGAGTTAGACGGGTTTTACGTTTCTCCATTCGTCAGGATTCGCGTCTCTCTGTTGAATCAAGTGCCCTTTTCACACCGAAGGACGACGAATAGCCCCGACCGGCTCTCCTCGCCGGCTTCTCTCGCGTCGGCGTCGCTAGTTTTTCGCGACCGGGCCCCCGGTGGAGCCTCGCGACGGAGCGTGTAGTAGAGAGAGAAAAAAAAGAAGGAGAGCGAGCGAGCGAGCGAGCGAGCGAGCGAGAAAAAGAGAGAGAGAGAGAGAGAGAATTTTGCGATCTGTGCGAGCGCGAGTTCGCCGTACTTGTACATACCTCGAGACGCGGAAGATATTTTGTACGAGTCGCGTATATATTAATGGTTCATTCCCACTTTTACTATGACACAACACTGTACAATTTGTCTAGTCGATGTAAGTATAAATATGTATATGCGTTAAGTCGTCGTCGGGGGGAGGCGCTGCCAGGCCAGAATAACGTACACTGAACAGGGGGGATGATAGTCGTCGCCGCGTGACGCCGCGTTCCGCGTGCACGCGATGTAATTATTTATATAACGTTGACAACGCGTAAATGGGAACTGCAAACAACGCGACGAAGTTCTCTCGCACACAAAGACGACGAGGAGAGGGTGAAAGAGAGAACCGGGAGAATCGGGTTGTCAGAGACATATCGTTTGTATCTCCATCCGTGGGAAATCGAGTCGTGGGCGACGGGCGCACGAAGATCACGAGGTCGGAGTAACGAGGCGATGATGGAGAGAGTGAGAGAAAATGTGTGTGTGGATGTGTGTATGTGTGTAAGAAAGGGAGAGAGAAAGAAGAAAGAGGAATAGATAAAAATCCCCTATCGTTGTCGTCAGTCTGCAGTATTCTGGATTACAACGTAAGATTAAGTATCTCTTGTACAATGTATAAAGTAACGACTTCTTTCGAAGTAAATGTACCGAGTACGATGAACGTTGTTTTTCAAAGTCTTGATCTTATTCTAGAAAACGAGAAAGGAAGAGAGAGAGAGAGAGAGAGAGAGAGAGAATGAAAGTGAGGACTGCTGATCAGGGTGTTCCTCGAAACGTATGGTGCATAATCGCGATAGCACTTCTAATTACTGCCTGTTTCGACGCTTTGTGAATCTCGTTGGTACTTCATTCGGAGGTTACCGCTCCTAGCCTCTCTTTGTACTATATAGCTTTAAAAGGGTCGTCGAAGGACGCCTCGTCATATCCTCCGTACGATGCAGGGATAATATCGTCGTCGTTGTCGACGGTGGCCGGTGGCAGTGGCGGCGCAGTTTCCGCTCCCGGTCGCCGGTCGATCCGCGAGAGAGGTAAGGTGAAAATTGGATGTATAGCTTCCCTCTCAATATATCAAGAGGAGTCAACTGCTGGCCGGTGGCATTTAACGTGTAATTACACTCATTACACGCGCAAGACGCGCCTCCAATCTCACCACTTCGCGCGAGGAACGATAATCCGTGTTTTTTCGCCGCGCTCGACCCGCGCGAGTTGATTTTCGCGTGCGGGACTGCACTCCGGGGCGCGCAATCGCGAGGATTTTGCGTGAGAAATAGAGCGTACTTCATCCGATATGGCTGGACGCGCGTAACGCGACAAAGAGAAAAAGAGGAGGAAAGGGACAAAGAAAGAAAGAGAGAGAGAGAGAGAGAAAGAGAGATCGTCATATTTTTACACTCGTGTGTTATACATCCCGTTTTTTGTTCTTTGCCCGGTGTTACAGCGCACCGTGAAGCGACAGTTTATCGATTTATTCAAATGAATATGGGATAGAAACTCGAGGCAAAACTGTCTCTTGATTTTCACCGAAGAATCTCGCCGCGATGCTTCTCGCGTCATCGTTAAGTTTTGAACGTCCCTTTACGTCAATCAGTGAATTTAATCTTCAAATGGAGCCCACTTCGATTCTATTGCTTTCTCCCTTCCTTTCTCTCTGTCTCTTTCTCTTCTACACGCCGAAGTCAACGTTTCGTCGAAATGGCATATATATTTGTGTATCAAATGAAAATTTCGCGTAAATTGACCAATAGACGAAATGTAGGTTGTGACTGTTTTCAGTCGTCGCAGTTTGTTATACGCGAATATCGAGAAAGAGAGAGAGAGAGAGAGAGAGAGAGAGAGAGAGAGAAAGAGAGAGAGGGACGAGTCCTGCACGCGAAGGCGAGGCGTACGCGTCCGCGTTTCTACGCCCCCGTCCGAGGGAAACGATGGACGACTGTGGATACTTAGCGAATTATTCGATGTTTAAGGAACGTAGAAAACGGTGAATCGCGTTTTTACGAGCCGTAATGTATCTCGAGGGATTTCTAGGCGGATGCGAATTGTTTCCTCGATCGCTAGGCATTACATTACGTCATCCGTGCGTGCGAGGTCCCGCTTATCGGAAGGAGAGATGAGTCACTAACCGTTATGATTATTATTATTCTCATTATTATTATTGCCATTAATGGAATTGATGTCGGAAACAGATTGTACTGAGTGTACTGTGCTGTGTCGAGAGGAGAATTTTTAGCGATCCCTTGAAAGGGCCGATTCACACGCATTCCCCCGCTCCTCCCGCCCGCCCGCCCGCCTCCTTATTATAACTTTTGCACGCATAGAGAGAGACTGTAAGTGTACGCGGTGTACTACGACAATGAGGTCCCGCTGAAATCCGACGAAAGAAAGGGAGAAAAGAAATAAATAAAGCGAGAAACGCCACGAGAGAACAAACAGTACAATAATAAGAAAAAAAGAAACAAACAAGCCGGAACTTCAAACTGCCAAAGTTTCTATTCTTCATTTGCGCGATCGCTCTGCTTAAAGCATGTGTGTACTTTTTAATAACGAAACGAAAACATTTCTAACGATACGTTTCGACGATTGCGTGTCATATTCGCGACACCGAGGACGATTCACGTTCGATGGCAAGAAATTTGTTCGTTACTTCACGTCACACGAAAAAGGGAGAGAGAGAAAGAGAGAGAGAGGCCGATCGTTTCTTTCTCCATCGCAACAATTTGAGGACGATCGCCGATCTCTTCGAAGCGCGCGTGTTTACTTCTCGTTGTCGAGATGACACTGCAACTCTTCGAACAAAATTATCCGATGGCCCCGTTCGTCGAACACGTCGCGCGGCACAAGACTACACGGCGGTGGCCAGACGTTGTTATCTGTGGGAAGTAACATTGAAATGTTTACACCTGCCAAGAAATACCGGAGGAAGGGAATCACCGAGCAGAATCCGAGCGGATTCCTCGATCGCGAGTAACTGTTGCGCACGCATTACCGCCCCGTAATGTGTTATAATAAATAACGATCGAACCTGACCAGCCGCCGCTTGAGCGAGACAGCATTGAAGTTTGTATATGTACTTAGTTTAGAACTGTCTCCGACACACGAGTCTCATGTACCCTCCCCATACCAGAACGTTTTTTTGATATTGTAAATATTCTGAAATAAATAATCGTTTTTATTCATGCGACGAGCATTATTGCGACCTCGATCCGATCGCGGCGTCATCAACTTTCGAGAAATGACTGCCGAAATTCGATGAAGCGTGTATTCGTGACAAGTGAGAATTTTCCAACTTAAAGGCATTTGGAAGTTTTCACCTTTCACTAGACGCGGAAAAATTCATGATTTATTTCCTACGTAGACAAAAAACTCAATTCCTGCAATTGAACAGGGACCAGGTGAAAACTTGGTGACAAGAGGTGAAAACTCGGCGATGAGAAATGATGTCTCTGTTACTGCGACTAAGCACATTCGTGTGAACATTCAGCTGCGCGAAAACTCGGGTGAGACAGCTGAGAGCAATTGACTGAACGGAAACTTCCTCCTACAAGAATCTTCCTGTTTCCGCAACCGAATTTTCGTCTGATCCCCAGGCAATGGAAAATTCAGTTACGCCAACGAAATCGGACTTCAAAATAAAATTCTGATAAAAGACAAAGATAAAATATAAGGCCATGATGAATCAAGTGCGAATGTTCTAGTGCCATTTTAAATATTGATAATGTCATTATTAATATTATTGTGGGAGGGTAAAATTGTCCATCATGTGTATTGCGAACGTGTTGAATTTTTTCGGACAAATTAACTCGACGACAGCCTTTCATATATGAACCGACCTCTGAATTCTAGTAACACTTGTTAATAACACGTTCGTTGCCACGCTCTTCGGGCATATTTTCTTCTACGTGCTCTCCACTTTATTCACAAGCCAAGGGTCCAAATTAATATGCTTATACTACAGATTGACTCGTGCTTCGTACAGAAAGTCGGTAATCGATATATATTCGTAGTTGGTTTATGAAGCTCACATACCGACTACGAGTATACTCGTAATTGGCAGCGCACGTATTAATTTAAAATCCCCTGAAAAACTTTTACCCAATTGTTAATTAAATTAGTAAGCAATTTAATTACTCTAATTATTATGTTGCGAAAAATACGGTACCAAAGAAAGTCGTATCTGAACCTCCCCGCTAATCGAGCGGAACGCCATATCAATTTGGTCACCAATTTGGAAGCCTCGATAATATTTCTCGCAACAATCAGTATTTACAAATTTGTATGGATGTACATATAAGAATAAATTAAGACCTCTGAATTCTCTTTATAGCTGTCCTTTGATCAGAAGCAAAAAATCATATATCAAAATATGTACGAATATCATATATCAAAATATATATGGATATCATATATCATAATCATATATCAAAATATATACGGATATTTTTACAAGTGTGCCGAACCGATCATGAGAATTATTTTGTACGTATATTCTTTTATCTCCACGTATATCGCAATATATTTTAGCATACAATTGCTCGTTTCTGACATTATCAAACAAGGACAGACAAAGCGAGAACACAGGAATCTTAAGCATATTCTTCCGTTCATGCATGTAAATTGTATGCGTTGACATTATTAATATTTAAAATAGCATTATAATACATATTCGTACTTGGCTCCTCATGACCAACAAAATTGGTTTTCTCGTATGGTCAATGATAATTAACCTTTGCAGGAATATTAATGCATATAGTAAATACCCGATGAAAACATCCACGTGCAATTGACGTGAAATCCACGTAAGAAAGTAGATTCCACGTTAATTCCATGTCGATCCCACAGATGTTCTCACGGGGTATCCATGAAGTGATTACAGAATTCAACAAGAGAAAGAGAGATTTCGTCACATGATTGACAGATCACTCTCTTATACGGATAAAAACTTGGTTCTTGCAACCGAAGAGGGATCAGAGATGAAGACTCGATGATAAAAAATAATATCTCTGTCATCACGGATGGAGAATATTCGTGTAAACATTTTGCTGCATTAAAACTCGATCGAAATAATTGATAATAATTGATCAAGCCAATATTTCCTACATGAATCTTTCTGTTCCTACAACCGAGTTTTTGTCTGGTCCCCGAGGCAATGGAAGATTCAGTTGCACCAACGGAATTGTTTTTCCCGTGTACAAATTAAATAATTTTCTTCGGATTTTAATAGATTCATCTCTGAAGAGGGTAAATTCATCATCGATACCAGATTTCGAAGCTTATCGATTACGTTTCAAGTCTAGAGGGACGTAAATTTGCATATGTAATTATTTCTTACCGTCCCAAAACTCGCTCAGCGATGTGTCCGAGTATATTTGCAAGCGATCCTCCACAGTCTCGAGAACGGGCGACTCCACGTGCAAGAGAAACTCGAAAATCGTACTTTCCGGCAAGTATTGAGTCACCTCCCTGCCTCCCAAGCCAAGGAACACGTCCTGAACGTTGATCGACTGTAAAATTGAATGAAACCGCGTCACGAAATCAAGCGAGAGAGGGATTCTCACGCGGTCTTCCTTCGATATTGTATCGAGAATCCGTCGAAAGAGAATCCCTTGAAGCTTCGTCGGAGCTTCATTCGACGATAGTTCGCGATCCTCCAGACTTCTTTTCGGTTGCTTCATTTAGTTTCCGGATTCATGACGAGGAAACTAATCCATGAAAGATGCAACACTAATCCGGAAGCCAAATTAAGGTTCTTATCTTTTCACTGCAGCCATCTTGATTAATGACGTCAGAAACAAGAAAACGTATGTGCAGCATTTTGGAGGAATAAAAAGATATATCCATAAAATGACAATTATAGTCGATTGAGCAGATCTGTAAAATAGTTCCAAAATTTTACTTTTGCTCTGACAATCAATAAATTATTTTGTATTTCAACGTACTTCGCAAGAATTTTAGGAATGCGCTTTCTCGTTTATGACGTCATTAAACAAGACATCTGTAGTGCAAGATTAAGAGCCTTAAGAACGTAACACCCATATCTCAAAATAATAAAAAAATTGTAAAAAAATTACAAATTGATCTACATTGCATTTAAAAATGCACCAAAAATTTGATAATAATATAGAAACTGAATCAAAAGATATTCTACTTTAAGAAGATTGTAAGGTGAGATGAGTATGATAAGAATTCGGTGAAACTTACACTGCGTATACATTAAAATATTATCTAACTGCTTATGCAATTAGAAAGAGGTTAATAATTTGAGATAACTAAAGTTGACACTTTTTATACGTGTTCCTTGAGACTAGCTATTTTTAAGTTCTATTTTTAATAATAATAAATTTAATAATAAATCTTCTAAACTAAAATAAGATTTTGATGAAAAACTACTATGAAATTAAAAACTATAATATGCAGATATTCCCGGCAGAGTCAAAAATTTTTATACGTTAGTTTCCTCTCGGCAGGCGATGGGAAACCACCGAGAGTATCCTTGACAAGAGAATTGTAGATTCTATATAGCTGTGTATAATCAGCGTGTGCGCTAGAGGTATTGGAGATAGTTCACCACGTTTGGCCACAGGCAATAGAATTGAGGAGAATAGAAATATTATACATACACTTCAAAATTATTAACTATTTTGTTTTGAAAATACAGCGGAGTGTAAAATTTATAACACACACACACACACACACACACACACACATACATGCACGCACGCACACGCACGCACGCACACACACGCAGCACACACACGCACACGCACACACACACAACATACACACACACACACACATACATATGTCTATCTCAACTTTGTTGTAAATTAATATTTATTATTCAGGTAGCGAAATAAATATATAGAAACATAATTTTGCTTAATAAATGCTAAACTTATGAGTCCTTAATACGCTAATGAAAATGATACTAATAGGTAATATATTTTTAAGCATATCTCCATACCACGGAAGTGTGAAATGTCGGATTTTCTTTCGCTTTTTGTAAATTTCACGAACCTTCTGGCGCACGGTATTCGCTATATACTCGCATAATATGTACACCTTAGTCAAGCAGTTTATCACTTGTTTCTGAATATATTCCAGATCGTAACCTTCCAACGTTTCCAGCAATGTGGGTGGTATCGTATACACGTGACACCATTCGCTAAAGAATTTCTGCAAGCATAATTTAATTATGTATGATTATACTGGATAACATGTACCACGTCGGATCACTGACTTGATGAACGTGATGGTACGAAGATAGAGGAATCGCTCTCCCAAATTCGCATTCGTCATTCTTCGTGGAGTACATCAACTCGTAATGCTTGTAAATAATATCCTCCCATGCCTATTAAGAATACAGATTTCAGTTTCGATATCTGCATTTCGCATTTTGTAAATAAATGGCCGAGTACTATGAGGAAAAATTCGGCATGAAAATTAGACCAAGTTGAGAAGTAAAGCGTTATTTGTCACGTATCGTCGTTGCCGTTACTTTTTTCAGTAACAACTTGATAACATTTTTTTTACTAGCAATGTTAATAGTAACACAATTTTTGGGTAATGGGAACAAATATAATTGTTACTTTTGTTGTTATTTTGCACACATATATTATATACATGTATATTAAATGAACAGAAACGAATCCAAAAACAAAAATCTTCCAAATTTAGTGAAGAAATTAACGAAAATTGTAATGATTCCTTACTTTCCGTCTGACGGTAACGAGTTACTTATTTTCAATAGATAACGAATGACGGTAATGCGTTACTTTTTAAAAATTACTTTTTAAAACTTTCCAAATCCTGGACGGAAAAGAAATATAGTTGAATTGACTTGATAACGAACAAACTAAATGTGTTTTGGTTGAAGGAGGCAAGAGAGATTTGTAATTTTTGTGAACTAAATTCGTTTCTTATAACCATAGAAATTTTATTTATTCTAACCAAAATCGATTCGATTATTGTCATGTTAATTCAACCAAACTTTTTCTCCATGTAGATTAGATTATTTATAATATTAATACTAATAATATTTCGAAGACTGAATTAATGATTTATCATGATATACAGGGTCCGTCACTAAAATCCGGACAAACTTAAATTTGAATTTCCTGTTTCATTTGATTTCGGCGGTAAGTCGATTTTGACGTTCGGGCAAGTCAGATTTGTAGTAAGCGTGCATAACCTCAAAATGTCCGAGCAGATAAAATCGAGTGCGGAGTATAACCGAAGAGTGATAACTGAAGACCTTCGCGCTAGACGTTCGCAGACCGAAATTATTCGGTTTTTCGGGTACCCGAGATCGACCGTATATGATGTTGCGGCTAAATATAATAGCTAGGACGAAATTTCCGGCCTCTGCTCACGTCTTAGGCGTCGTCTGCAGTGAGGTCACGTCATGCCGCCACATTTCTTTCAAAAAAAAGAAACCATTACAAAAGAAGTTTATTTACGCGTTTTGACAAGAGTAGTGAAGCCGTGGATAGATACCGTGGCCGCCGGGAGACCGTACGTCTTCCAGCAAGACAGCGCGCCGGCGCACACAAGTCACTTAGTTCAAAATTGGCTGTCGGATAATGTGGACATGTTTTGGTCGAAGGAATTCTGGCCTCCGAACAAACCAGATTTGAATCCGTTGGACTACTACTTGTGGAGCGTTATTGAATGAGTGACCAACAAGTCGAGACATTCCAACGTGACATCTCTCCAGGCCGCTTTCAAAGCGGCATTCGTCAATATGGACAAGGACATGTTGCAAAAAGAGTACCAGCGCTTCAGAGTGAGGATCGAAACAGTCATCGAAGCAAAAGGGGGTTATATAGAATAATTTTACTCTAAAAGGATACTACTAGTGATGTACAAAAAATTTGTTTGTAATTTTTACATTTTAACGAATAGAATTTTGTTTAAACAAATTGTTTATTTTGTTCGGATTTTGGTGGCGGACTCTGTATTTCTATGACAGAGTAATGTAAACATTACGCAAATGTAGAATGCTCAAATACCTCTAACACGTGGACGTAACACATCGGATAAACGAGGAACAATCCTGTGATAGACATGTCGCCGTAATCCATACGTAGATCTTGTATAATATTTTCCATTCTCTATAAAACGAAATACAGAAATTGTACAAGGAATAAGTCGATCTTAATTGTGACTCACAATGAGAAAATTTTCATATTGCGTCATGATATTTGGTTCTTCCTGTGAAATAATCTTAGAATCTCACAATTACTTATTCTCTCGAAAAATATGATAAATCCTTTATGAAGATTACGTTTCACTCACGATTGAAAGTCTATGCGAAAATACGACGCAGGTAACTCACGATAACACCCACCTTCGACAAAACTCCATGATCTCCATGGTATTCCCCGACGTAAATGACTCGCGTAACGTAAGTTTCCTGAAAATGGAAAGACGAGACGCGATGTATTCGCTACGACCTGAAAAAGAAAGAGACTCGAACGAACCTCCCTGGGGAGTTTAATAGCTCTTCAATATCATACTTCCGTGTGCATGTCGCTAAGTTTGTATCGCATACTGACTTAAAAAAGAACGCACACTGACTTAAAAAAAAGATATGTGCACATTGAAAAAAAAATCGGTGGAATTAATAAAATTTTGCTTAAAATAGTTGTCCGTAAATGCTATATTTATCAGGGGCGATATTAAGGGAACTCTAAATAAGTTAATTATTTATTGAAAAAAAATACTTTTCTACAGCTTTATTTAACTATCTAAGTAATAAATGTTAATTTTGAACACGCGAAATTAAAACAAATATATACACAATATTACAAACATGGAGATATTACTTATTTCTTATTTTTTTGTTTTTCAATGCTTTATTTATTCATCAGTTAAGCTAATATAGATGTACACATAATAGAAAGTGGTATATAAATATTTAAATGTGTATATATATACACATAGTTTTTGCCTGAGTAATCAAAAGTCAATATTTTGATTAAAATGATGATGTAATAAATAAGTATTTCTGAAAACAAACATATTTTAAACATATTGTGCTGTTACAATGGCATCACAAAAAATACATTAAATGTTACTATTACTTAGCATTCTATGTTCATTCAGTTTCTGTTTATCTGGGCATGCGGATTCCTACGTGGATTTTTAATATCCTATATTCACATGAATTCCATTGAATTTCCGTGGGAATCCGCGTGGAAATTTTTAATAGGGCTGTATATTCGTTGCAGCGATCTAGTTTTATAACATTAGAAGCAAGAAAATCTATGCCCGGAATTCTCGCGGTATATATTCAAATAAAAAGATACACATGAAACATTTGTGATTGATTCAACATACTTGTAAAATATTCTGAATATTTTCCTTTTGCTCTAACAATCAATAAATAACCGTAAAATTAACATTACAACCTTCCTTTTTAATTTATCTTTTTTCATGATTTTATAGCGTTAATTTTTCAGCTATTTATTGATTATTCGAGCAAAAAGAAAGTGTTTGAAATATTTTATGTAATATTTTAGTGTGCTGAATCGATCGATAAATGTCATTTTATGCCTTACTTTTTCATTTCACCATACACCGCATAAATTTTGGATACAGATTTCCTTGTTTCTGATGTCATAATGCAAGATGGTTGTGGCGAGTATTTTAAACGAACAAAATTTGTTAAAGCACAACATTTAATCCTGAATAAATCGTACAGTTGCTGCAATGAGTTATCAATTGATTTAATAACTACAATTTGGTCAGCAATTGTATCAATGCAATGTATTGTTGCGCCAACGCGTAATTCGTTCAATGGACACAATACTTTTTTGAATGGGAATGACCTCGGATTTTGGCGATTCAAATCGCTTTTTCCTCAGTGCACGATTTTGCCTCACGGATGATTATCCGCAAAATCTCTCGTCACGTCACCTGTCAAATTTATTCGAAGTCCGCGAAAATAGTACGATAGTCGCATGAAACTTTCATAGTTATGAACAAATCGAGTTATTTAATATTGAAATCATACTTACACGACCCGCCGCGCGAAGATTGCACCGCACCACATCTAAGAGACTTTTCCTTACTGGCTCGGTTATGATATTCATTGGCTCCTAAAATATTGATTATGCTTTACATATTTATAAGCGTTAATTCTGTAGCACGTCACTTTCGTATCGGAGATTTTCCCTCTGTGTGGGAGGAGAAAATTCGCGTGTACAATGTCCTCGTGACTGCGTTTCTCGCGTAATTGTGGCGTACTCTTTACGAAACGGCTCGGTGGAAGAACAGCGATCTGAACATATCGAGAGATTCGTTCTTCGGCGTGAAGTCTTGCTTCGAAGTTCGTATATGCAACTCATTTATCATAAACTTACCTATTTTATAAATATATAATTTCATAAACCTATATATGTCACGTGATCGCACAAGATAAAGAAGAATAACACGTTTTTCTAGCCGGAAACTGTTCGTATCCGTTTCACTCACTCTTATATTTGTGTATCATACATGATTTTTACATTATGTTACAATTTGTATACTTGATCCACGCGCAAATACAACTGCAAAAGAGAGACGAGAGTGTCGAGCGAAACTCACTTTACTTTCGTCGTTCGTAAGTACCTCGGGTCATTGTTCCAGAGAAAATGAATCGTGTATGATAACATCAAATGATAAAGAATTGTACAATGCATAAAATTGCACAATCGGCATCATATAAGCTGTATGCATTCCCTAGATTGAAACTTTTTATTATTACCTTATTTTTAGTTTTTTACATATATATACATACATAAGGGAAACTATTATAATTAAATAGAATCATTAGAACTCGATATCAGCTAGTGATATTTCTCTAATCTTCAACTGTTATATGCGTAATATGTTTTATGTGTTATGTGTGTAAAGTTAAAATTCGTGTGTCTCTCCGTCTAAGGAATGATACAGTGCATGTAACGCCGATCGTATTGCGTGCATAACTTTGTGCCTTATATATATTCCACAGCCAGTTGTTGAAAAACGGTCGATACATGGTACAAAAGCAACGTTACTGACGCAAACTTTAATAATAATAAGAATGAAGCGAAACAGTTGGGCAACTGATCGCACCGCCACGCCCGAAAACGTCCGAAAACGCACCTACCAAAAAATACTATTCGAGGACGACGGAATCCTCGCAGACTCGCGTTATGCAAAAAGGAGTCTGATTTTAAAACGTCGATAAAAGAATATAAAGGAATCTATATAGAATCTCTAAAAAAAGAAAAAGAATAATAAAGTAAGTATTATGCCGAAAACAGCAATTATCACAATGTGCTTATCAATATGTGACGTTCAAAGAATCATTACAAGAGACCGAGCAGGAGGGGACAGTATTGAGGTCTCGATCTCACTTCTTGATTCCGCGCAGAACGGCACATTGAATGTTACTAACATGCGTTACATCGCGATACCGGGATCGAAACTGCACCCGCGCAAAGTATATCGCGAATATATCACGCTCGAATAATACTTGAAAAGATCACGCGTATTGCTGAGAGTCGCGAGCGGATCTTGTCCCTTTCTTTTTTTTTTCATCATTTCTTTTCGCAATTATTTCTTTGCTTTCGGACATTCTAAGATCGGCGGTGGTGGCGGAGTCGGCTCGCTGGGATTACCCAACCACACGGATTTACTAAAGCGACCTTTTATAACGGGCGGTTGCCACTTATTACTGCACACAACGGTGGCTGTCGGCTTCTCCGCCGTAACCGTGGCTATGCTTACAGTCCTGAAATGGTAACAAAGATTATTCAGAGGCGCGCCGAGAGAGAAAAAGAGAGAGAGAGAGAGAGAGAGAGCCGCGCGCGCCGCTAACGACGCAGCCTATAAACGTCTAAGCGAACCGAAGCGAGACCCACGCGAAGAACGTGAAAAAATGCGACGGCAAAGAAAGAACTCGTCGCGCGTGCATTCCTCCCGGATGCGAATGAGAAATAAACACCTACTACGACGACGACAATGACGAAATTCAAAAAAACCTACCGAGGGAGGAAAAAACGGAAAGGTATACGGAAGTGCGATATAGAGATATAACGTTTATTAATTGATTAAAAACAAAGTAAAGTTGTGTATGTGTGTGTGTGCGCGCGCGCGCGTGTATGTGTATTACAAATCCCTCGACCGCCATTTGCGTTGCTCGTGATGAAGTCACGACAGTGGGAGAAAATTTGTCAAAATTTCAACACTCCACGGGCCTTCTCTCTATGGTTGCGTTCGGGGAACACGCTATCAGCGCTAACGCGTCACTTTATCTTTGTCTCTCATTAAATATACGACAAGGATAGAATGACTCGCTGGCGCTGATCAGCACTAATAGCGCGCTCCCCGAACGCACCCTGTGTATCTGACTTTAAATATATCTAATTGTAATCATCACTGATAGAAAATTATAGTTAGTTTCGGCGTCAAGCATATCTTTTAACCACAAAAATAGTAAAGAGAACTATTTTTCTACTACAGTAATACTACTCAGTAATAATAACCTTACATGCACGTTGCTACTATAAAATACGTTTAGCGCCGAAACTAACTATAATTTCCTATCAGTGATATTGGATTTTAATCTTATTTAATTTTAATCAAATGTGGCTTTAACGACCGAATATATATTCGTGAAACGTATCTTCATAAGATATAGTCTCACTCAAGCAAGAATTTTGCCTTATGTAACAAACGTTCCAGAGTTTCAGAACTTCTAGAGACAAGGGCACAAGATGTTTGTGAGCTGACGAGACGTCTCTACAAGAGCGATTGCAGAACAGCGTTATATAGTGCGAAGTAACATAAGCGTTTGGTGCTTGCGACCACAACTTAGAGAACGAGTCCCACGTTAAAGCGACGCGAATTACGAAGTGATGTTGAAATTATAAAGGAGACAAGCCGAGGACGGGGGAGATCTACGGTGGAGAGGAGAGCAGGTGAATATGGCAATCTTTTATCGTAACAGAGAGTGTACACCTTGTATTTTCCATCTCTGGTACAAACGGCGCGATAAACGACACGGTAAAACGCAAAAAATAACTGGCAATTGTTTATTCTAGGAAATTGATTGGGTCCTCTAATGCCAAGGTACTTGGTTCGGGTGACTGATGGTACCCAGTTTGTAGTACCTGGTGGTAGACGGCGGCTGTTGCACGACGGCCGATGAACTCGGCGGGGTCGCCGGAGTCTCGGCGTTCTGGCCGGTGCCGTCCCCTTTGAGGACGGACACGCACTTCCAGTTGTTGTTGTAATTGTCCTTCCATAGGCGGACGCAACCGTCGTCACCGGAACTCGCTAGAATCGTTCCCATAACGTTCCAGCAAACGCGCCACACGGTACAGTAATGATCGTCGAACTGCGCCACCATGATTATTTCGTAACGCGACACGTCGCTTTGCATATTGTCCCTTAAAAGAAAAAAAGGATAACGCGCATCGATGCTGTGATTCGCCTGCGATCGTATCTTTCTCGCGCGCATTTTCAACGTTTCTACTCACTGAGTCGGCGTCAGAGTGACTATCCGCACGTCTTTCGTGGCTATAGCCAGTGTGTGATAACTTCTGCCTAAATTAGGAGCGAACGCGATGTCGTGCACGGCATCCGTAATGTTCGACAACGCCTCCGCCTTCGTCCAGCGTCTACTGCTCTCGGAATATTCGTAAATAAAGACCTTCGCTCCACTCGACGTATTCGTATCGTCACTACCCACCGCTATCATGGGTGGATGTAGCCTGAAATGTTTTTCTTGATTTTCTTACTGCACCACAAGTGATATATGTGGTATTATATTATGTCTTTACATATTAGGTTGTTCAATAAAAATTCGTGGAAACTTATGTCGAACATATACATTTCTATAGCATGTTCACTACATCAAATGTCTAATACATTTAGATCTATACTTTTCCCTTTTTATATATTTGTATCGAATGTTTTCATTTCATAAAGAATCTGTTTTTTATTGTTGCACTGGCTGCACTAACTTGCACTAGTTTCATTTTCCTCTCTTACAAAATCTCAAGAAAGAGAGGAAAAGAGAAGAACTCTTACAAGCTAGTACAGCCAGTACAGTAATAGGAAATAAACCTTAAGTATTCAATTTGACATTATCCTTTGTGCATCACGTGATAATACCTTGATAGAGATGGATTCCATGTGAGGCAACTCAACGAAAGCCTGCAATTGATATCATGTTGTAACGTCCACTGACTCAGATTCATGATATCTGGTGCCTCGTATATTCGAATAAACCCATCCGCATTGCAAGTGGCCAACAAAAGACCCAGAGTCTTTGGCGCAAATTTGACATCTGTAACGGAGGTACGTGAATCCACCAAGTTTGTTCTCTTAACCCAGTGTCTACTTCCACGTGCTCCCGATCCAGAACCTTGGCCAACTGTTGAATGAAAAGAGACATGTAGACAAAAATTGTGGTACAACAAGAGCAAACTCTCATGTCTGAGAAATTAATCCCAAGTACCAATTTCTTCCCAGACGGCGGCGGTACGATCGAACGAGCACGTAGCGAGAACCTGGCCAAATTCCGGGTGTGCCCAGGTAATTTTCCAGACCGCGCCACTATGGGCCTTCCAAGATGCGGTCAAATGCCAATTTCCATGCTCGTCTTCATCCCAAACCTGTCGTATTCCACAGTGTAGAAATATTTACAATGTATAATGCTACTTCGTTCATAAAATCGATAGCAACTCAGGTCTTTAATAATGTAAGTCATTATCGTTCACCGTACCTTAACGCACTGGTCAGTCGAGCAAGTCGCCATCCGTTGACCGTAGAAATCGTAAGCGATATCGTGTATGAGATCTTTGTGATCTGCGAGAATGCTGTGTGCCTCGAACATCGTGTTAACAATATAAATCTCACTGATATATCACTTGGTATACAGAATTCTCGTTCGTCGGGCACGTGTGGATCACACCGCGCGTTAGAGGTTATGTCATCTCCAGCGGAAATTCGTAAAAGACGAGGGCCACGTTAACTGGTCAACATAGACATTTCAATTACACGTTTACGTTTTGCTTGTTATTTCGATGTTACTGGTGTTATAGTTTCGATAATACTATAACGTTAATAAACGTACGTGGTATTTGAAATATTCGACGCCAGCATCATGTTCTCACGTCTAACCCAACCTCGACTCGAATCTGCACTTTCCAGTTGCGCTTTCTGTACTTGTTGTACCACCGAAGCTTGTCTCTTTCCCACTCTCTGCGGCCAGACCTCAAAAAGTGCGTTCAGAAATCCTCCTCTATGGATAGAGTAGATTTCATTAACCAATCATGATGAAGAAATATTTGTTCTTTCCATTTTGATTGGTCAATTAAATGCTGCTCTACCCGTCGAGTAGGATTTCTAAAAATATCCAAATTTATAACCGTCTCATGCTAAAAAACCAATGCGTCCCCTGTGTGTCGTACGGATGCGCGCATGCGTGACAAACGTCGCTGCAACAAAGAGCTTATTGTGATTTCGAACGAGATGAAAGGGACACTGTTAACCGATCGCGCGTAAAATCTCTTCGAAGTTGTTAGAAAATCGATGAAAAGTCCACGAAACGCACGCATATGTATCTAAATACGTTGAAAGTTAAATAAAATATATGCAATCTAATAACCTCGCGCACAGAGAATGAGGCAACGTGATGCGAAACGATAACGGATAGGAAGGAGAGGAATATTCGAATATCTCTGGGACGCTCTTAGAATCTTTTAAACGTTTATGTTATATGGGTAAGCATTTAAAAAAAATAGAATGGTTAAATAACTTTAAAGATACATAATCAATATATAGAAATGTGAAAAATACGGAAATATACGAAAAAATCCAATGTTACGATCGTTAAAATGCATTCGTGCGCGTCTATATATCCCAAAGGTAACACAGTTCGTTTCATATACATTCTTTAAACGTTTACATTTAAAATATACATAGATATGATATGTTCACAAACATATATTTAACACGGGCAGTACTAGCTAAAAATAATACTGTACGTCAAAGCGCGAAAAACGATTATTTCTCTATGAGTTTTTAAACGTTATGTAAATTTGAATGATATTTTCTTGCTATAGTACCAAATATATCATAAGTCATATTCGTAAACATTTAGCACAGATTTTTCGAGTTTCTTCGTGTTATATTAACATTCATTAATTCATAACGTCATTTTTTTAGTGGTGTTGTCACTGAACGACTATCTTAGAAAAACAACAAATTATTATGACAAATTACTTACTGTTATCACGATTGTTATTTCAATTCAGAATTGGGCATTTATGCATAGACAATGTAATTATGTATAATATATCATGTATGTAGACAATAAATAATTTATGAACCGTTATGAAATGGCTCTTCTCTTTCTTACATTTTATAAATCTTACTTTTATATTTTATTTCTTTTTTCACTTACACCAACAGATCTATGGGCTATCCTAAAAAATGTCTTGAGGACGTCCCTCGGATGTGCTATATTGAAAAACTCACATATAAATGACATCTGAAGTAACATCTGAATAATAACATTTATATATTAACAATATATACATCTTTTATATCATTATATAAATATTTTAAATATACGTAATGGTTATATCTAACTTAGCCTAATATAAACTATTAAAAATTAGTGAAATTATTTGGTTTAGACCAGGGGCCCGGATTGAATAAAATCGGCCCGTTTCAGTTCCGCTTCACTAAAATGTTTAATAAAGATTTTGGTTTCGGTTTTCTGAACAATGAAAGTACCAGTTTTTTAAACTGTTAAATGTAATTTAAACCGTTTAAATTACGGTTTTTTTCGGTTCTGGTTTTTTAAACTTGTTTCTTTATTGAAATTTTTATTGATTTAAATTATATATATATATAGATATATAACGTGTCCGATAATATATTATAAAAAATAATAATATAACTTCCTCGATATAGATGGAGTTTCTTCACTATTTCCATCTTCTGCTCTTAATTTTTTTGGATATATAGTGAACCAAAAAGAAGTACAAACCGAAAAAAATATAACGGTTCCGATTTCGGTTCTGGTTCTGTAGGTTTTATAAAATTTCGGTACAGTTTACGGTTCCCGTCCGATAAAAATATCGGTTTTCATACGGTTTCCGTTCCGGTCCNCTATTTCCATCTGCTGCTCTTAACTTTTTTCGATGTATAATATTATCCTCGTTATTTGTAACTTCTTCCTAATGGAAATTCAATGTAAATTATGTAGATTCTAAAAATATTCTGAGAATATCTCGATATTCTTCGAACTTTCTTAGAATATACTTGTTCCGCTAGAGTAATTTGCACAATTCAGAATAATTGTCTTTCTATTTATCCCAAAATTGTTACATATTATTTCTTCTATTAATTCTCTTCTGTTCAATATCGTATGCTTAAATTTAAACAGGCTTTATTTTCTATTTCTCACGATAACTAATAAATGTTCTGATTTTTCGTGAGAACTAAAATGTTATTATGAAATGAAAAAAACTATTATTTAAAATCACAGAATAAGAACCGAAATAGTGAACCCAAAAAAATGTAAATCGAAATAATGTAACGGTTCCGATTTCGGTTTCAGTCCTGCAGGCTTTATAAAATTTCGTATAGTTTACGGTTTCGATTCGACAAAAATACTGGTTTCCATACAGTTTTCGGTTTCGGTCCGGTCCAGGTCCCTGGTTTAAACATAACTGCATAATTTTACGATACCATGACATAAAAATTACGTATATTGTACCTATTGTAATCACGAGCTAAAGAATATTGCCTTTTCCCGTTTAAAAGCTCATAAGTGAATTTAAATAATAAAATTTTTATTTTTTTTATACATATATGTATAAATTTTTAAATTATTAATATTGAATACCTTTATAATTAACACCAAGATCGGATACGCGAACTATTCATGGTTAAAACTAACTTAAACTAATGATTTATCTTTTATCTTTGCGCTATGATATGTAATTTATAATATTTTACATACTTTACATTGTTTAGATGAAAAAAAAATCACATATAAATATCACGTAGATAATACGTAAATTATCCGTGTAGATGTATTCTTAAAATCTGTGGCATCACAGTTCTGACTTTAATCCATCAGATACAAGAAGCTAAGAAGTTCATTGGCCAAGAAAATGCGGAGAAAACGAAGAAGCTCTTGGTTCGCGAGCGCATAGATTCGCGTTCTCGTCGAATCACCGTGATCAACCAAAATCCCGACGAAACATTGCTCATCGCGGAGTGTTATTTAATTGCGTCAAACGTCATTCATCGAAAGGCTTCTCGGGAAAGCTCATGGCTCGCGTCACAGAACGCTGCGAAAGTCGTTTGTATCGCCGGTGATGGTTTCGGATAACACTTTGACCCGCTCGCACAGTGTTCGTTATCCGAAACCGACGAACGATTCGCTCGCGCAGCTGCAATTGCAAGCGTACTCCTCGGGCAAGTCCGGCTGATCGCGAGTGCGATCAGGTGTATCGTGATAATGAACGGATATTTTTGCCGATCTCGCCTAGCCGGGGTGACACCGAGCGAGCTGTCGTTATCGCCAAGTCGCAGCATAATTATCGGATCATTCCGCGACGGTAACGTCCCCCGAGCTTCTTACGCTTCTTTATCGCGCAAGAAGAAAAATGCGAAATTGAAATTTCACTCATTATTTCGAATTCGGCGTTCCTACGAATTGCTATTGGTCATCAGATTACTGAGAGAAGATTGAGCAGTTGTTTCTTCGCGTTTCTCCGATATCTTTCCGTCAAGACGATTTCACGTAACCATCGAAGGAAGTAAAAATCGGTCAAGACGTCGTTTCAGGTAAGCGAGATACGAGAAATAAGAAATTCGGCGACCGATTGTTATCATTTCCGTTAGATTCGTGAAACAACGTATCATTATCTTCATTTACAAAAATTGATAATTAATTGTCATCTTCATTTCATTATGCGCTTTAGGTATTCGTTATTTTTATTATTTTTGTAACATTTTTACTTTTAATTTATATACTCTTAGCCTTTTTTCTTTCTTCTTTTTTATTTCTTTTTCTTTTTTCTTTTCTTTGCGGCGCTTGTTTGTATATTTACATTGTATTGTACCATTTGTTGCTCTTACAGCACACTTAAAAATTTTGTGTTAATAACGGTTCACTGAAATTTTCGTTTTACTTTAACAAGATGAATATGTTAAAAAATAATATTAACAAGGTAAATATGTTAATTTAACATATATTTGTGTACTTTTTAATATATTATCCATGTTAAAGTAAGACAAAAATTTCAATAGACTGTGTTTAACATAAAATTCTTTGTAAGGATTTATTCTAGAGCATAATAAAGCAAATTTTATCTTACATAGTCGTTTTCGAGCGACTTTTTGCGTTTGAAGGTTGTGAAAAATAAGAAAATATCGACGCGTAGAAATAAGAAGAACGCTATGCGTCAATCGAGGAAAAAATCAGATGAAATGTGCTCTTGCAAATGCGACAATAAAAAGAAAACCTGACGTATTATAACATTCTTCTCGAAATAAACGACGCACGAGAGGACGTTCTTAGGCGATAGGCTCTGGCTTCGTGCTGTCACCTACACCTTTTATCGCATTTCCGGGCCATATTATGTCTAGGGCACTCGCATAGTGTAAATAAATACCCTATATATCGAAGTGTCATCAAGCACTTCAGCCAGTCGTCTTATGGTACGACGGCACTACGCGTCTTGAGTTCAGTGATGAGGATCGAATCGTGAAACGTCGAATTTAATAGTTCTTTGTTATAAAAGACCGAAAATTTCACGGAGTATTCTATTCCCCGTGATTCTTGGAAAATCTCAAACGTTATTTCGCAATACGAGACATGATAAGCCGCGGTTGTGCAAAAATCGCTACGAGATTAATGAAAGTGATTTAACATGTCATTGAATGCTGCGGAAATAGCGTTTCTTTGGTTGGAATGATTATGAGATTGGAGTGAATGTGAGAGAGATATACTAGGATATGTTAAGATATACTAGGATTCCCCAAATAGTATACATTGTTAAAATATTCGAAAAAAATAACAACTTTCAATTATATGAAACACCAAGTGATAAAAGAAACAGTATAAGTAATTATCTCAATTATCAAATCAGTAAAGTATAAGTAATACGTAATTACAAAAGCAACGAAGTGATAAGTAATAAATAATTACAGAATTAACAAAGTGGAGATTAAAATTGACAATTGCTCGTTCGGCAAACGTTGTACGATTAATAAGAATTGACATGACTGTTGAATATATTTTTCGAAAAAATTTCCGAGATATCATACTTATCCATAGAGAAAAAATATCAGTTCAATTAACGTAACAAACTAAACGCGTTTTGATTGAAAAAACAAAATTTCTAGTTATAAGAAAGTACAGAAAAAAAATGTTGTGTTAAAAACAGTCCACTGAAATTTTGTGTTATTTTAACATGTGGAATACATTAAACAGTACATAAATATGTGTTAAAAAGTGCACAAATATGCGTTAAGAAACACACAAATATAATGTTAAATTAACATATTCACCTTGTCAACATATTGACAAGATGTGTTAATTTAACATTATATTAGTATATTTTTTAACACATTCTCCTCATGTTAAAGTAATACAAAATTTCGGTAGATAGTTTTTAATGTAAAATTTCTTATTGCATTTGACTCATAAAGAACAGAAAAATTGTATTTCCTTCAACCACGTTCGGTTTGTTCATCGTCACGTTAATTCAATCAGCCTTTTATCTTCGTACGAAACTTCTTAATTATGTTAATTAATTTGATAATTTAGAAAAAACAATGATTTCTTCTTTCGGGTATCTCTCACGATAGTTTCATGAAGAAGACAATATTGCGTTTTAACATGCGACAGGTCCTCGAACTGGATCCACCTTTCGGACAACCGATGCATCGCCGGAAGTGTTCGCTGTGTTGTCGATGTGGTGATGCAACATGTTTGTGCAAAATGTGCGCGCTGTGCTGTCGGTAAACCGAGTGTAAGAACTTTGTTTCGCACTCTTGAAAGTATTATGCTCCGTTTATCCGCAGTACGGCGACGACAAGATCATCTGGATCGCCCTGACCTGCGGCGGCGGCAGGAGGAATTTAGACGGAAAGGAAGGACGTGCGTTCGATTTTCGCGGTTCCCATATTCCAGCATAATTCGGCCGTGTGTTGTAAGGCATTATGCTAGGAATATGCGGTGTTGCGAATCTGCACACTGAAATCTTCGAAAGAAACCGAGAGCAAGGTCGCATACGCTAATGCAAATCTCGCGATAACGGCATGTAAGGACGCATTTTGATAATCTTTAAAACGTAAAATTCACGATTTCTTCGCCATTCGAAATGGAGCGGAATCGCACAGTTTGCTACACTAGATTTTTTCTACCTAGACGCGAGATATCTAGACGATATTTATCTACACGGACGGGGGACAATCTTTTTCTTTTTTTAATTTCCAAGATTGTGTCGCGATAACAAAGATATTTGCGTCTTGCCAGCTCGCTTGACAGACGCGATAACGACGTCCGTAATCGTAGAGAATATTTACGAAGAGCGCTCAGTCTTTTATTCGTTGCGCTGTAACAGTCGAAGTTGTGCAGCCGCTCGCGCTGAAACGGTCATCGTTAAATAGCGCGTTCGCGCTACGTTTGAGAGACATTTTCCCGCGATTTCCACCGGGGGGTTATCGATCCACCTCGACCTCGTGACAATTATTATTATTATTATTAATGTCGTGCGCTACCGATGCGCATACATCAGTAGTATCGTGACTGCAATTCACGCAAAGAATTCGCCGAGCGCGGCCGACGCCAACAGCGACGTTATTAATTTCGCGGTCGCGAAATCAACCCCGTGCGGTGTCGCGAACGCGTTTCTCGCGGAGAATATCGCGGAGGCACGCGATAGAGAACGGAACGAAGGAGTCGCTCGAGAAACACTGACACAATTTCGGTAAGTTTCGATTTCTAAATCTTGATGCGAAGGTAAATTCACGCAGAACATTTCTCTTGAATAATTTAGCGTACTAATAAAGTAATTTACTAGATTTGAATTGCACGATTAGGATATACTCATATTAAAGCCAAAACTTATACGTGAAAATAAGTGAATAGCTTGATTAGATATATTTTTAACCTGATCGTATATAAATTTACCCGTACATACGTATGTACAAAGAAATATCAGAAAGATAAAATGTTCCGTATCGATGTATGCATTTCCGATGCTGCACTTTGAATTACGGGTTATTTCTAATGCCAATATGGGGAAAGATTTGGTCTCGTGTAGTAACTAATGTATTATGTAATTGTGAGTGTACTATTGCATTATGTAACAAAGCCCTTATTATTTAATATTTTTCGAGTAATTATTGTGTAACGTATGCCACTACTATTATATATACGCGTCTACGAGAACAGCAGAAAAACTGATTATTCATTGCGTTTGTAACATAAGGCTTATTCTTTTTCGTTGAACTGACTGCTCACGAAGTGTACACTTAAACCTTCTTTTCATGGAAACGGCATCATGCTCGCCGTTCTTTGTTGAAGTGCAACGGTATTAATACAAGCAGTTTATTGCACTGGTTACCTTAGTGGTCTTTTTAGTTTAATTAACTGCATTAGTTTAGGAAATTTACATATATATTGAATCGTATGTACGAAATTCTTACGCTTCACTGTAAATCAATTTCTTAAACTAGTGCAGCCAGTTCAGTTAAAAAAACAGACCATAGATTTCGAACTAATGCAACAGTGTATTTTAATAGCAGTTTTGTATAAAAACGAGTAATAATCTAATGTAGTATTTCTTAGATTATTTTGCTATAATAAATATATAAAGTGTGGCTTATGTTACAAACACAATGAATAACCAGCTTTTCTAGTCTCTCTAGACGTGTATATACAATAGTGACATACGTTATATAATAGTTACTTGAAAAGTATCAAATAATAATGGCTTTGTTACATAATATAATAGTATAAATATATATATATATATAGAATGAGAAAAGTAACGATACAATGGAAACGTTTGAAAAAAGTTACATATTAAAAGTTCAAAAATATGAATAACATTCTCATTTGTAATGTGATGCGTCATATTGATCGCTGCTAGAATTCTGTGTTGTACTTGTCAGTTTCGTTTCAGTTCAGTGCAATTTCAATGCAGTGAAAAAGAACAAACCTATAGTCCGGGTTATGTGCAGTCGTAATAATTCGCCTTGCTACTTAAATTTCCCATGCTGTTCTGAAATTGTTTCAAAATTATAAGTATACATTTATATATTATAAGTATATATATTCTAGCCGAACAAGATTACCATGGTATTTTTTCGGTTCATGAATGTTTACAAAAATTCTCGAACGTTCGAGAAAAATTCTGCGCGTGTGCATGGGCATAATTAGGATTTCAGTTGAGGAAGGAGGGGGGGGGGGGAACATTTATCTNTATATTAAAGTACGTTTTTGCGAGTCTTCAATAAACTTTCTCAATATTTTTTCTTCCAGTTTCTTTCTTTTCATGAGCATTTTTCTACATAGCAAATATATAGTCCACTGATGCAATTTAGCATATATAGTCTACTGATGCAATTTTGTGACATTTGGTCTGTTCTTTTTAGCTGCACTGTTGAACTTGATACAATAAGTTAAAGCGAGATAAAATATATTTGTCTCATTTTAACTTATTACATTTATTATAGTTCAGCAGTACAGCTAAAAATAACAGACCACTTGTTGTTTGCAATCAGATTTTCACATTTCGCAACGTACAAAAAACCTTTCAATGGTACTCATCGTGCACGGTTGGACCAAGGAACGTTTGACAGTGAAATTGAAAAATTGTCATTATATTCATTTTCATAAAACATTGCTAATACGTTGTCATTAGTTCTTAATTACAGTACATGTGCTAGCTTCTTTGTAGAAATGTAAATAACATAATGAATGTAAATTGTAATATAGCAGTTATATTTTTTATTTTTATGATTTTCATAATTTAATTGTTTCTCCTTACCCAAAATTTAGAGGTGGACAAACGTCCTTCTTTCCCTTTTTAACTACGCCAATGTGCATGTGTATCTCACAGTTGTACTTGATTATTATATAAATACAGATATCGCGCGTAAACATTTTCGATTGAAGTAAAGATAATTCTTTGATTATTGCAGCTATATTGAGAGACTTCCTCACGTTTAGATCTTTATCTTGTGTTGATTTTTCTTTAGGTTCTTGCTACTATTTTTTGTTTGTCATTGGATGTTTCCGGATATATTAATATTGAAGCTCAGATACGTTGTATACACTGATTATCGGTTGTTAAATCTATAAGACTACAGACTGGTGTTACGTATACATCATCTTTGTATCGAGACTGGATCGAAATGATTGTGTCTGCTTGGTAAAACAAAGTTATTATTTTACATTGTTCTCTGGAATTTGCATATTTTTTCTAAATGTGATTAAGTTTCTAAGACAACGGATATTTTTGCTTTGAAATTTTGTGTTTTTTAACTTTTACTCAACGAACCTCTATGACCACGATATCAAGCCTGCTCAATAAATATATTAATATAATTCGATAGTATACTTCTCTTATTGTATAATTTGTAATTTTTCTGTAATCGATAAGAGTCCAAATTTAAGGGTTCGGAACGTACAATATTCGTAATATTAAGTTATTCGCTATATCTGCTTGGTTTTTATTTGCTTTTTATTACTTTTTTATTGTAAATTTTGAGGGCCTTTACATTTATATCGTATATACAGGGTATCGCAAAAATATGTTACTATACTTTGTTTATAAAGTGTTTATTAAATATTGTACAATGTTGCTTTCAATGTTTATAACAAACTACATTAGTGTGGTAACATTTTTTGCGACACCCTGTATATGTTTATAAACCGTGTTTTTTTTTGTAAAGTAGGATCGA